AGGGCTGTTATGAATGAAGATGCTAAATACTGCCAAATAGGTGCTATAAATGTTGGTGCACAGATGTATGTGTGCCAGCATGGCTCAGTGATTGTGCGTCGACCTATGAACCAGGAGGTCATGGTTCAATTCCCGGTCAGGGCACATGCCTGCGTTGTGGGTTTGATCCCCAATGCGGGGAGTGCAGGAGGTAGCCTATCAATGATTTTCTCTCATCGTTGATGTTTCTATCCCTCTCTCCCTTTCCCTTCCTCTCTGAAATCAATAAAAACATGTTTTTTAAAACTAATTTTCATTTCTCTTGGATAAATGCCCAGGAATGCAAATGCTGGGTTGTACAATAAGAGCAAGATTAGTTTTACAAGATGCCAGACTATTTTCTAGAGTGGCTGTGCCATCTCACTTTATAATGTAAACATGCTCCAATTTCTTGGCAACCTCTCTAGCATTTGGTATTATTATTTTCAATTTTAGCCATTTTTTTGATAGGTGCACAGTGATATCTCATTATGGTTTTACTTTGCATTTAATAGCTTTTGATGCTAAACATCTTTTCATGTGATTATATGACACTACAGTCACGATGCCCTCTTGTAGTCAGGGAGCCCTTGGGTGATGTCTACTGCTGGTTTAGGCCTGCTCCAGTTGGACATCCTTAGCACTGCCATGAGCCGGCTTTTGGCTGAGCAGTGCTCCCCCTGTGGGAGCACAAAGACACAGGCAGCTCCTGTGTTGAGTGTCTGCCCTCTGGTGGTCATTGTGCATCACAGCGACCGGTTGTTTCGCTGTTTGGCCAATTTGTATATTAGTGTTTTATTATATAGGATATGTACATCTTTTTTTGGTGAAATGCTTCTTTATGTCTTTTGTCCATCTTCTAAATGATGTGTTTGTTTTTAAATGAATTTTGAAGAATTATTTGCTTTTTTTTTTTTTAAATTCTCACCCAAGACATGCTCACTGATTACATGCTCCAACAAGGGATCAAACCCCAAATCTTGGTATGTACCCTGAACGGGAATCAAACTTGCAACTTTCTGGTATATGGGATGACAGACACTCCAACTAAGTCACACCAGCCCAGGTGAGAATTATCCTTATATTCCAGATATAAGTGCTTTGTTGGAACTACAGCTTGACAATATTTTTTCCCAGTATGATTCATCCCCTAACAGGTTCTTTCATAGAAGAAAACCTTTTTGTTTTGATGTCCAATTTATCAACTTTTCCTTTTATGGGTCATGTTTTTGTTGTCAAGTCTAAAAACCTTTTGTTAGCCTTAAGATGTGAAGATTTTCTACTAAAAGTTTTTTTAAAATTATTTTTATTTATTTATTTATTTATTTATTAAAAATATATTTTATTGATTTTGTACAGAGAAGAAGGGAGAGAGATAGAGAGTTAGAAACATCGATGAGAGAGAGTCATCGATCAGCTGCCTCTTGCACACCCCCCACTGGGGATATGCCCACAACCAAGGTATAATACATGCCCTTGACCGGAACCGAACTCGGGACCCTTCAGTCCCCAAGCCGACATTCTATCCATTGAGCCAAACCGGTCTCGGCTCTACTAAAAGTTTTATAGTTTTGTTTACAATTAAATCTGTTAATCCATATTGAGTTAATTTTTATGTAAGAGAGTTGTGAGGTTTATGTTAAAGTTCATTTTTTTGCCTATGATTGCTCAACTGTTCCAGCACTACTTGTTAAAAAAGGCAATCCTTCCTCCACTGAATTGTCTTTGCATTTTTGTCAAAAAACAGTTGGGCATATTTATGTGGATCTATTTCAGGCTTCAGAATTCTATTCCGTGTTCATTCTATTGTGTGATCTATGTCTATCTTCCTGCAGTAACCCAATGTTTTGGTTACTGTAGCTAAATAGTAAGCTTTAACATTGCATATAGTGATTCCTCCACTTTATTCCTCTTTCTCAAAACTGTTATAGCTATTCTAGAATTTCTGTCTTTCATATAAATTTTAGAATAAGCTTGTCTATATTTACAAAAAAAATCCTGTGATTTTTATTTTTACTTATTTATTTATCTAATCATCATCCAAGAATATTTTTCCATTGATTTTTACAAAGAGTGGGAGAGAGAGGGAAAGACAGAGAGAAACACTGATGTGAGAGAAACACATCGATTGGTTGCCTCCTGCATGAGCCCTGACCAGAGCCTGGGCAGTAGAGGAGCCTGCAACAAAGGTACGTGTCTTTGATTGGAATCAAACTCAGGACCCTTTGGTCCGCAGGCTGATACTCTGTCTACTGAGCAAAACTGGCTAGAGCATTGTTGTAATTTTTAAAACTTTTAATTTTTAAAATTAAAATTTTTAAATATATATCATAATCATAATCTTAAAATTTTTAAATATATATCATATTGAGTTTTTACAGAGAAGAAGGGAGAGGGATAGAAAGTTAGAAACATCAATCAGCTGCCTCCTGCACACCTCCTACTGGGGATGTGCCCGCAACTAAGGTACATGCCCTTGACTGGAATCGAACCTGGGACCTTTCAGTCTGCAGGCTGATGCTCTATCCACTGAGCCAAATCGGTTTCGGCTAAAACTATTTTTGTTGGGGTAAAATATATATAAGATAAAATTTACCATTTAACTGTTTTTAAGTGTATGATTCAGTATACTTAAGGACAGATGATGCAAAAGTTAGATAAAAGGACAGTGTGAATAACTTTGTGTCAATACATTCGAAAAATATAAGAAATAAAAAATTACCTTAAGTTACTCAAACAAAAAAAGAATATCCAAAATATCCTATAACTATTAAAAAAGTTGAATCAATAGTTAAAAAAATCTCCACATAGCCCTGGCCGGTATTCTGAGGGTTAGAGCATCAGCTCATGCACTGAAGGGTTGCAGTTTTGTTCTAGGTCAAGGGCATATATGTGGGTTTTGGTTTCCTCCTGGCCTCTGCCCTGTCGGGGCATGTGCAGGAGGCAATCAATGTCTCTCTCTCACATCAATGTTTCTCCCTCTCTCCCTCCCTTCCACTCTCTCTGAAAAACAATGGAAAAACTATCCTCATCTGAGGATTAAAAAAAAAAATCTCCACATATAAAACACCAGAATCAAATGATTTTAAAGGACATCTATCAAGTATTCAAGATTCATGTATTTTTTATCATGATATTTTAAATTTTATCTTTATTGTTTAAAGTATTATAGCTGTCCCCTTTTTAAGCTTCATGTAATTTAATCTTATATAATCTTTTTTCAGAAATGAGAAAGTTAACTCCACGATTATTAAAGGTTAATTTAATCTTGATATAAAAACAATAACAAGGACAAGAAGGGAAAATTATCAGACGTTCTGACTCATGAAATAGATAAAATGTTCTAACCAAAACATTAGCAAACTGAATACAGCAATGCTTAAAGAAAGAAAATGACACATCATGCCCAAGTCAGGTTTACCTTAGGAATACAAATGACTTCCCCGGACATGGCTTATGCAAAACAATGAATCTGTGATGCTTGCCATTCACTGACAAAGGAAGCACAGGGTTTGGGACTAAGGTCACAAAATGACTATGTGCTGAAGTGCAGAGAGCTTGTGAATGTCCAGGTAGAGATGTCTAAGCAGCAACCAAGAGTACTTACTGGTCTGGAACTCAAGTATAGGCTGGGCTGAAGATAGAACACTGAGAATCACCAGTATAGAAGAAGTACCTATAAATGGGATGGGATTATCCAAAGAAACTGGGATAAAAACAGAAGAGAACCAATCTGAATCACAGACAATCCAATGTTTAAAGAAGAGGATTCCCTAAAAAGACTTGCCAGAGAATCAGAAAAAGAAAGAACCAGAAAAGCAAGGAAGACAGTAACTCAAGTCACTCTACGAAGGAGAGGGGTCAGGAGAATTTAGTCACTATTGTTCACTAAGACAGGGCAGTTTCGGGAAGTGATGAGGGGAGAAGGCAGACTGTTTTTGGCTGATGAATGAATGAATAAGAGAAAACAAAGAGGAAATGTGGTCAATGCTTACAAGAAGGCTGGCTAAGGAGGGAAGCAGACTGTGCCAGAGCAAAGGGAGAAGCCAATTAGAGGATGAATTTGAAGACCATTTAAATAGGGTGGTGAGAAAAAATACAACACAGAGCCTATCCTCCACCTTTCAGAATGGAAAAGATTGTTCTTTAGTCACAGCCCTGAGGCATGAACATACAACTACCAGAATTAGATTGCAAACCCATCCTAATTGATCTGTGCCAACTTGCTTCAGTTGACCATGTTTCTGAAATTCAGCAAACAGCCACAACCCTAGTCCAGTGACCATGCTCCTATGGCTAAAAGTGAACCAGTCCCTGAGAGTCCACCCATTCCTAAATTCCACATTTACCCAAAAGGGGTAAAAGCAGAAAGTATTAAGGTCTTCCTCAAGGACAATTATAAAAAGCACAAACTGGACCATGGATCTTGGAAAAGGGGGAGTCCACTAGTCTGGAAACTGAGAAAATGAGCAGATGGATAACAGCAGTGGCTGCAGTAGGTGACATGAATCCTTTCACATCAAAAGTATAAAAATCTGAGCTGTGGAAAGGCTACCTGAATTGTACAGGAGCAAGCTAGGACTCAAAACCACGTCTGTTTGGCTGTAAGGCCTAGGCTCTTTAATGTGAACTTATAGTGCCTTTATTTTCATCTTATTCATTCCAGAATTGAAGCTCTTTATGTAGCTCTACAAACTTTTACACGGCCAGTGCTAAATGAAGAAATTATACAGTTATAATTATCAAATTTGTTACATGCCACCCTATTTCAAGCGTGTTGACAACTTTCCTTCAGGAGGATTTATACCATCTCCACCACAATCTTCTATGGTATTCATGTGTTCAGCACTCCTCTGCTATAGATTTATAGAGGCAAAGCAATACTGTACAGGTTGATTACTGCAAGTTCCAAATTAGTGAATTTAGTTTCTAATAAAGAGAGTTCACCATGTCTGCAGATTAAACCAAAAAGCACATCTTACCTGAATTTTGATTGGCCAGGTGAAATTACTGACATAAACAAAGAAAGTGATATTTTGGTGGTTGCGAAAATCAAACTTCTCATTAGAAAAGCTATCTTTGTACTCCTTAATGTTGGTTTTCGAAACAACAGGCATCTCTTCTCCAGACTGGGTTCCAGCTATTAGAAAGAAAAGAATAAAACAGAAGAAACTTTTTGGGGGGCAGAATTTACCTTCATTACTAATAAGGATAATAGTTAGCATTTACTAAATACTATGTCCCAGGAACAGCCTTTTAAGAGCTCAATCTCATTAATCCTAACAATAACTTTATTATCCTCATTTACAGATCAGGAAACTAAGGTTCAGAGAAACTAAATAACTTGGTTCAGGTCACACAGCCAGTAAGAAGTGGAGCTGCAATTTGAAGCTGGGAAGGCTGATATACAAGCCCATGCCCTTAACTAGAATGGTTTTACTAGGAATCCCTGCAATTTCCTTCCATGCTGCACATGGCCATGAAAATATAGGTAGTACTAAAGCCTTATTAACAAGCAATGACATCCACTCTGCCCACCAGCTACAACTGTATTTAAATCCCCCCAATGTGGTATAAATGCTTTCCATTCCCACAAGTCCTTCAACATCCTATATTTTCCCTCTGCCAGAATAATAGTGTCTGTAAAAATTCATTAAATAGATTTTTCCCATGTCTGATCAAATCCTGTGACTGGAGCCCAGACTGTCAGTCATTGTAAATCATCATATGCTCAGAGATGTTGCCTTTCTCGAGATAAACATTGCAATAATCTAGACCTTTTCTTAAAAGTCTCATCCCTGCAAGTTTCTGAATCTTTTCTGAATTCTAGACAGTCTTTTAAGACACGATAAACATAAAGTGACGTGCAAAGCTAATGATTTTTATCTTGATTCAGTCTAATTGGTTGTGTTTTAACAAAAAACCAAAAACCAAACAACAAAAAACAACAACAGTATTTATAGTAATAATAATGATGAAACATTTAGTGAGGATTTACCATGTTTCAAGCACTACTTTGAGTAGTTTTGTTTATGATTTCATTTGTTTAATTCTCAGTACACCTTGCATGGCTAGGTGTAGTAACAGGTAGAATTCAAACCCAGGTCTGTCAAGCTATGCTCTTAACCACTACATAAAACCCACCCTTTACTGTTTCAGCAGATTTCCTGTCCTAGCACATCTTCTTTAGTGACTTATAGTAAGATAAACGAGATAGTAAAAGCTGTGCTCTTCAGAGTTTTAATCTCCAAAGTTCATTTTCCTGAACCTACTAAAATCTCATTCTATTTTAAATGTTTCCATTTCTTGAAACTTCAAGGCATTTGCCTTTTTCACTTGTGAAGCACTGATGAGGATGAGGATGGCAGTGCCAGAACAGCAGCTGCAGCAATGCTATTCGTGGTGGTAGTGGGGCAGGATAGTGAACATGTACTGAGCCTGACACCATGGTAACCACTGGCATGTAGAACCTAATTTAATCTATACAACACTTCTTTACAATGAATAACCCTAAAATCTATAGAAGGATTTAGACATTTGCTCAAGGTCTCCTAACTGAAAAGTGGCAAAGCGGGATTTCAAATCCAACTGTCCCTCTCCAGAACTCCCTTTCTCAACTCCTACCTCACGATTCTTAATCTATTACCTTCAATCAGAAGGTTTTCACAAGGTAAGTTTTTTACCTGAGAAACTGGCAGCCCAGGTGATGTTGAGATTGAAGTTTTTGGAAGCATTGATGAACATGTCCAAATCCCTGTTTTGCTGATGAGAAGTACAGATAATTAGAAAATGGATCCAATCCTGATGAAATTCTTTATTTTGTAATATCACAAAACATTAGAAAATTAAGATTTTTTTAAAACATTTTTTTATTAAATTATTATCTGTGTACATATTTTAACATTGCCCATACATACCCTCCCTCCCAGAGTTTTGTGTCCATTGGTTGTACTTATATGCATGTATACAAGTCCTTCAGAAAATTAAGATTTTTAAGGGTGTTGTTTTAATAGTTTCTACAGGACAAAACTTCAATGGAAACGTTTTCAAAATGGAATCTCCAAACCAGAAGTTTCTCCCACAAAGCAGTTATCTTCTCACTTATTAACATAACCTCACCTTCCCCTTGAAGGGACAGCTCAAATGTTTAATTTTAATATTTGTTGGCAGCACACTACTAACAATTACTTATTCCAAAAGAAGATCAATAAATCTGGAACCTAGTGCTTTTTTAAAATATAGAAGATACACACTGGATACCTCTATTAAATATTCATAAGGTAAACAGGGAACCTCAGAGAGGTCCTAAGGCTTTCATGATCACTGCCCAAGTTGCTAAAAAGTATTACCAAGAGCCTACAATGTTTACTTAAAACTAGAGGCCATGAAGGGGGGATCCTTCAGCCCGACCTGCCCCCTCTCATAGTCCGGGAGACAACCCGGCGATCAGGGGAAGACAACAGCCCCATCACACCTCTGGCAGCTGCCACTGTCGGCAGCGCAAGCCTGAGCCAGCCCTGGTTACCTGAGCCTCAGGCAGCTCTGAGTGTCTAAGCAACTGCTATCTGAGGCTTGCCTGCACCCCGGGGCTGCCCTGAGCAACTGGGGGGCTGAGGCAGTTAATTAACATATTCCCTCCTTATTGGCTATGGGCACCGCCATCTTTTGTGAGAGTGTGATGGTCAATTAGCATATTCCCTCTTTATTAGATAGGATAAAATTAACAACATCAATTATATCCTGAAAGACTAAGCGCTTCAACCACTTGCTTATGAATAAGTTTAGTAAATAAATTTCATATTTGGTCCTTGTGCTATAACCTTATCCTAAAATCTTTTCTTCAAAATTCCACTTAACACAGCCCCTGAAATGATATGCCTACACAGTTTTCCCACAAAATATTTTCACTTAAAGTACACTGATGAGAAATAAGAAACTCCTAAGGAGGCTCCCAAGTAATTTATCATCAAGTTTAGAAAAATTGCATTATGTATTGGAGTGGGTAATGAATGACTTTATATTTCATTGAAGAAATTGGGCAGATGTGTCTTCACGGTCTAGATGCTTCACTTTTAAATGTCATGCTGTGTTGGCACCTTTCTACCACTAGGAAATACCTTATGGCAAGATGGGGAGCATCATTAACGTTAGTAGGTGTAAATCCGCATTTCAAATAGTCATCTTAATAATTTCAATTATTTCTGGCTAACTTCTTATTGGGAATAACTAAACCTTTGCTGATTTTATCTCTGCCTGAATGAGGCTAACAACTTATTCTATGAGAAGTATCACCTCTGCCACCTCCCTTGCACCCACTGGTTTCAATCTGCAGTTTCTTGGTGAGCACTTTTAAGCCTCTGATCTACTTTGAGAGAGTAAATCTGGGCTTTGCCATCTGCCCCTCTGATGGGTAGTTTCCCTTGCAGTTTCTTCTCCTTTTCTGTACAGGGATGCAATGGGCTGATGGGCAACCAAGTATGTGTGGAGTCAATGTTTTAGTCTGAATATCCAATACTGGTAAATCTTAAAACCATTCCTACCTTTTAGGTGGAAAGGAGATAAAATGTAGATCTAACATTTCTTCCTTGTACCTCTAGACATCATCCTATGTGCTCCACTCTGGAGACCACTGCTAAGGCAGTGCTTCTAGCCATAATGACAAAGAAAGAAAAAAAAAAAAGGAGGAAGAGGAGGAGAATAAGACTTTTAAATCTTACTTCATCAGGTGTAGCCACAAAATTGATGGCTGTGTAATAGCGGTCATCCTCTTGGGACAGGCTAAAGGTGAACTGATAGTCAATAAGAAGAGTATCTATGATAAGAAAGACATGTATTTAAAAGTTGAAGAAAAACAAAACAGGTCTCTAGAAACACACCTTGATTACCTCATAAATATTCAATACCAGGAAAGCACTTTTGGCTCACTTATACCTGGGAATTGGGGGTTTTTCAAAGGAAATCAAGGGCAGTATCATAGTATCATTTTGTTTGGATATACCCACAAACCCTCCTTATACCAATATCCTGGTTGATATTTTAAGCTCCAACCTAACCCACCTACAAATATTAATTAAACATCTATTTATTACAAGCTAGGCCGTATTTAAGCATATAATGTTATAAATGGGGAGTTGTTCGCAATTTTATTTTTTACTGTTTAAGAAACTGCCATATGGTTTTCCAAAGTGGCTATACTATTTCACATTCCCACAAAGAATGTATGAAGTTTTCTTTATGTCATTGTTGAAACTTCGTATTGGCTTTTATTTTTCCAGATAATAGATTATAAATGTACCCTATTACAAAAAATTCACTGATATGGTTTCAGGTTCCACATCGTAACTACCCTTTAAAAAATGGCCAGCTGTCTAGTTTTGGTACAATATCAAAGCATAATATCCATAATTATGTAAAAAAGTAATTAAAACACTCCATTTTCTAACTCTGTCTGGTGAGGCTAAGTTTTTCTCATGAATGTAGGAGCAGATGTGAGATTCCAGTTGTCTTCTCTTAATCCACAGAATTGGCTTTTGAGTCTAGTCATTCTAGGAGTATATCTCACTGTGGTTTTAATACATATATTCCAAATGTCTAATGTTACTCATTTTTTCATGTGCTTATTGGCCAATTTATAATAATAAAAGTGTAATATGCTAATTATACCAGACAGCCGAACAACCTTCCGGATGAAGCTGGGGCTGTGAGGGCCAAGGCAAGCCACCGCGGCTGTGAAGGTCATGCCCCTTGCATGAATTTTGTGCATCGGGCCTCTAGTTTATATATATTCTTTCATTAAATGTCTATTCAAATCTTTGTCTGTTTTTAGAATTGCCTCCTTATTCAATTGTAAGAGTTCTTCATATATTCTGGATATAAGACCTTTATCAAATATATGCTTTGCACCCAGCCAAAGTGGCTCAATGGTTGAGTATTGACCCATGAACCAGGAGGTCATGGTTCAATTCTGGGTGAGGGCACATGCTTGGGTTCCAGGCTTGATCCCCAATGGGGGGCATGCAGGAGGCAGCCACGCATCAATATGTAATTGATGCTTCTCTCTCTCCTTCTCTCTAAAGTCAATAAAAATATATTCTAGAAAAAAACTTTAAAAAAATTATATATATATATATATAATTTTTTTAAAGTCTTTTTAAAAATTTGATATATATATATATATATATATATATATATATATATAGCAATATTTTCTAGCCTGTGGCTTTTTTATTTAAAAAAATTTTTTTTAAAAGAACATCAATCGGCTGTAGTGATATGTGCCCCTATCAGATGTAATCCAGATTTGTGCCCTGACTGGGAATTGTAACTGCCACCTTTTTGTGTTTGGGACAATGCTCCAACCTACATGAGACATAACAGCTAGGGCTTATTTTTTAATGGTATTTTTTAAAATACAAGTTTTACATTTTGATAAGTCCTAATAAACAACTTTTTATTTTATAAGTTGTGCTTTTGGAATCATATCTAAGAACTCTTTTCCCTACACAAGGTCATAAAGTTTTTCTCTTTTCTCCTAAGGGGAAAAATATATCTATATATCTATATATATTACAATTATAGGTTCCAATTGGACACGAATTTTGAGAGAATACTATTCAACCCAGGAAAGCAAATATATAATTAGAGTGTACATGCTAAACGTTAACTCATTTTCCTCTGGTTCCATTATCTGGCCTACTATGTGGGTTTTCCTACTGGAAAACAATGTATTTACCCATAATGACCTGGTCACTTTACTAGATTTATCTTTCAGTATAAGTTAATCATTAGATATTTTATTTTATACTAGAGGCCCGGTGCACAAAATCCGTACATGGGTAGGGTCCCTAGGCCTGGCTGGTGATCAGGGCTGATCTATGGGGTGATTGGTGGGGTGATCCAGGCCCCCACTCGCACCTGCCTTGGCCTGGCCCGCTTGCCATCCCTGCCCCCCACTGTGGTCCTGCTCTTGGTGGGGCCCATTGGGGCCGGCAGCACCTCCACTGCCACCCACTGCCAGCGCCATGTCACCGATGCCTGCCATGTTCCATGCTATCCCCTGGTGGTCAGCACACATCTAACTTCCAGTCAGTCAAACTCTGGCCCGTGGTAATAATTTGCATATTAGTCTTTTATTATATAGGATCTTAGTTCCTAAAGAGGTGGTAAACCCAAATCAATTTCAGAGAGAATGATACCTTCAACTATATTTTAAGATTTGAAAAAGAATACTTTTATTGATTTAAGAGATAGAAACATCAATGATGAGAGAGAAACATTGATCGACTGCCTCCTGCATGCCTCACACTGAGGATCAAGCCCACAACCAAGGTTTGTGTCCTGACTGGGAATCAAACTATGACCTTCTGGTTTATAGGTCAATGTTCAACCACTGAGCCCTGACAACCAAGCTAATATTTATTTATTTTTTACCTATATCCTAAAATAAGAAATATGGTGACCCCAACCAGGTAATGGCAAATGAAACAAGGTTTCAAGAGAACATAAGCAAAAAAACACACACAGAGATATATATCTCTGTACTCTTCCCTGATGTCTGCTATGGACAAACTAACGTAAACTATAACCACAATTAAAGTATTTTAAAATTGTGCCCATATATATATATTAAACTCAATAGAATGTAAGCACATCAAAAAAGAAGACACTTCCATGGGTCCTTGCTTTATTTCTACAGCATTTACCATTCTCAAACAATGTTAAAAACAATAATGAGGTTTTACTGAACTACTTTGCATCTAGACAGGCAAGAATTATAAAAGCACTTACAATAACATGTTCCTTTGAGAGGGTTTCCCTGGTATCGATTTTCTACTTCACATCTAGGAGGAAAAAATAAAGATTATTTCTATTGCTATTTAAAAGAGAATCTAATTTATGTGAAAATCAAGTAGATCCTTTAATATAAACTACTGTTTTTGAGTCAGTATAATTACATTCTTCACTGTTATTCAAATCAAGTAAACTAACAAGAATTTGGATTTATTTTTAATGCTGACTGCCCAGGAGTTCATACAACCACCAACTGAGAAACATTTGCCAAACACATGAGATAAACCCAAATATAATATATCTAGCTACCATTTATAATCATGAAAAATACATTTTTACTTTTGTATGAACTATTCTTTTAAAAGTGCAGTTAAAACATTTTTCATATATTCATTTTTCACCTCTTTCCTATTCTCCCTGGATAAACTGATCCTGTTCTTTAAATACAACTAAGAGAAGGCTAAACACAAATAACCTTTTTTTTTTAAACGTGGGACACAATTCACCAGTCTAGAGAAAAAATAAATTCTAGTAAAAAAAAAATTATTAATTTCCTCATAGGCATTATCTATAAACATCAGCAAAATTATTGAGGCAAGCACAATAGCTATGAACTATGAAAAAAGAAGGGAAAAGCTTGGGTCAAGCACTTTTCCCAGATAAATAATACAGGGATATGTGTCCTTTTATACTTGTTTATATATAATACATAAATCTCTTAAAAAGAAAGTATTCCCCATTTCTTTGCTGTGTATCAAAACTGATGACAAGAGTTATTAATTTTGCTCTATTATGTTTTTCTGTTTAAACAAACCTGGACTCAAAAATTAAATTTGATCTCTGATTATACTTTTCTTCACGTACTGGTTTCAGGGCAACATAAAACCAATAAACGTATATGCACTAATATAAACTAGGAAATGTAGACAGAGTATTTCCCTCCTGAACACCACTATCAAACCTCAATCCCTGGTGACATAACTTTGCTTACCAATGACACATCTGCTTGCATCAGCCCAGTATTTTGATACTACTAAACATTTCTAAGTCTCTTCTTGAGAGAATAAGTAAACCTGGAGCATGTGTTTTACGAGGTTTTCTGGTCAGGCAGACAGGAATATATGGAGAACAATCTCTCTTCTTTCAACATCCCAGGACATTAAAAGCAATTACTGTTAGTCCCACTACCGAAAAAGGTAGAAAATGAGATTCAGCGTAATTAAGTGATTCACCTCAAAAGGACCCTACTCAGTGGAGGCACAGCCAGGGCTGAAACCCCACATCTGCTTGCATCCTCATAGATGGGGACCCTAGACACTCCCTTGGAAGATCTCATCTACTTCACCAAGGAAAATGCTAGAACAGGGTGGGATGGGTTAAAGGCCAGAGAGGATCATCTCCACTATCAGACAACCAAAATACCAAATAAAATACTGTCTGGGAATACCAGCTCTTCCAACTCTCTTTTGGAAAAGGGTTCAATCTCCTGACATGACAAAAACTAAGTACTAGCTGAAGTTAGACAATTAATCCAAGTCAGCAACCCAAGGAATGTCAGAGTTATCAAGGAATTGTTGCTAAACTGATGACCTACTCAGTATGGAGGTTGACCAAGTTAGACCTGCCTGAAGTGGAAAGTGCAAAATTCCAAATCAATCAACTCGAGATCCCTTAGAGCCAATGGCAGCAAGGCATAGACCCAGATGACCTGGGTCAATCACTAAACCCAGGCGTGGCCTGTGGCAGGGGTTCGGGGAGGGTGGTACTCACAGCTGGCACTCATCCCCCTTGACACCCTTGGTGGTGCAGAAGCACTTGCCCGAGTTGGTATTGCACAGTGATGCATGACCATTGCACTTACATACTAGAAAGAAGAAAAGGAATGTTGGTCACAACTGGCTTAAAAGATTAGCATCAGAGACTTTTTCTAAAACAAGTAAATTAATCTCAATTGGATTTAATATGAAAGATTAAAATAAAAGCACTTAATGAGTAAGATGAGTAAGATTCTTTTTTTTCAGCTAATGATTTATCTCAAATAATGTAAAGGCAACATTAAAGGAACCAAAGTCAAAGGACAGGAGAAAAGAATGTCATTTCCACCACCATCTGAAGCAATCCCAAATTTTTCCTTTTTAATAGACTGTGTTTCTCACTATTTTGATTCTTCTATTCATTCAATAAACATTTAATGAAGTGTCTAGTGTGCCAGCTGCTGGGTATGAGGACATAGACACAGTCTCTGCCCCCATGGAGATCTTATGAGTGATGACCGCTTGAGGGGAGGGTTGGTCAGGCTGCACTCAGCCTCAGCTGAGGTGCTTTCTCCACAATGGTCTCATTTCAAACCCCAGTTGGGCTCAGAAGTAGAGTGGGATTCTAATGGCAGGTTGGTGTTTCAGAGGCCATTCACAATTTACCACCCTTCCTTGCCTTCTTCTTGGCCTCCATAGAAAACAACTTCTGGCCCTAACTGGTTTAGCTCAGTGGATAGAACGCCAGCCTCCGGACTCAGTGGTCCTAGGTTCAATTCCGGTCAATGGCATGTACGTTGGTTGTGGGCACATACCCAGTAGCGAGTGTGCAGGAGGTAGCTGATCAAGGTTTCTCTCTCATCGATAGTTTTAACTATCTCTCTCCCTTCCTCTCTGTAAAAAATCAGTAAAATATATTAAAAAACAACAACAACTTCTGTCACTTCTCTCCTCTAGCCATTAACACTTCTCTACCTTTTTTTAATCCAGCACACTAAAGGCCTGGTGCATGAAATTCACACATGGGTAGGGTCCTTAGGCCTGGCTGGCGAACAGGGTCGATCAGGGCCTTCCGGCAGCTGGCCAGGGCCTTCCTTCCCCCAGCTGCCAGCAGGGGCCTTACATCATTCCGCACCGTAGCGCACATCATAGCAAGTGGTCAAACTCCCGGTCAGTCGAACTCCCAAGGGGACAATTTGCATATTACAATTTCATCATTTAGGATAATAAATAAATCTTAAATAATAAAATGATAATATGCAAATTGACTGAATGGCAGAACAACCAGTTGCTATAATGCACATTGACCACCAGGGAGCAGACGTTCAACACAGGAGCTTCCCTCTGGTGGTCAGTGCGCTCCCACAGGGGGCCGGCTGGCAAGCACAGAGGTGGTGGCGGGAGCCTCTCATGCCTCTGCGGCAGCTCTAAGGATGTCCAACTGATGGCTTAGGTCCGCTCCCTAGGCCATCAATCAAATATCCCCTGAGGGCTCCTGGACTATGAGAGGGCACCGGCCAGGCTGAGGGACACCCAATAAATGCATGAATTTCGTGCACTGGGCCTCTAGTCTATATAATAAAAGCCTAAGCAGCTGTTACTGCAGAATGACCACCAGGGGGCAAACACCCAACACTCCCATAGGGGGAGCACTACTTAGCCAGAAACCAGGTTCATGGCTGGCTAGCGCAGTGGCAGTGGCAGGAGCCTCTCCCACCTCTGAGAAGCACTAAGGAGCAGCAAGCCCAGCAGTAAGGAGCAGCGAGCAAGCAGGTAGTAAGGAACAAGGGGTCCCGGACTGCGAAAGGAATGTTCACCTGCCAACTTAGGCCCACTCTCCATGGGCAGACATCCCTCGAAGAGTCTCAGACTGTGAGAGGGTGCAGACTGGGCTGAGAGACCCTTCCACTACCCCCGTGTATGAATTTTGTGCATCGGGCCTTTAGTATAGGATAAGTATGAAGCATGATAAATTTTATGTGCTAGTTGAAATAAGTGAGGTTTTTTCCCCCCAATTCCTTTCACTTTACACCATGTTTTTCTATGAATAAAATTAAAGGCATTAGGTTTGAGATAGATGCACTATTAAAATAAATTTTGCAGAGAAAAAAATCACCCAAAGAAACATGTGAAACAGAATAGTAAAGCTGTTAAGAGAATGGATGAAAATTCAGAAACATGAGTATTGGCTCAGTTGAGTATGGAGAGGGGGGTATAGTATATTAACAAAAAAAGCAAAGGCCTGAAGTCAGTTTGCCTGGATTTGAATTCAGTCCAGTCTACTTAGCTTCTTTGTAACTTTGGACACTCTATTTAGCTCCTTTAAGTCTCTGTTTTCACATCTATATTATTGGTATAACAATAGTTATAACAATTATAACAATTGGTATAGCCCAATATCTTGGGCTGTTGTGAAAAATAAATGAGATAATACATGAATTAAACATAGTAAACATTCAATAAATCATGGTTATTATCTTTAGTTTAAGGACTATCTATATATATAAAAGCCTAAGCGACCATTGCAACCGAACGGTCAAATAGGCTGTGTGGAGCGACCAGGTTGGCAGGGGGGTTAGTGAGGGATGACCAAACGAGTGAACAGCAGGCTATGTAGGGCAACCAGGCTGGCAGGAGGGGCAGTGAGAGGCAACCAAACAACCGAACAGCCATCTGCGTGAGGTGACCAGGCAGCAGCGGGGGCAGTGAGGGGTGACCAGGCCAGCTAAGTGGGGGCAGTTGGGGATGACTAGGCCATTGGGGGGGGGGGAGGCAATTAGGGGTGATCAGGCGGTTGAGCAGTTAGGAGCCAGTGGTACCGGATTATGAGAGGGATATCTGACTGCCGGTTTAGGATCGGACCTAAAATGGCAGTCGGACATTCCCTGAGGACATCCCCTAAGGGGGTCCTGGATTGGAGAGGGTGCAGGCTGGACTGAGAGGACCCTCCCCCCCAACCCATGCACAAATTTCGTGCACTGGGCCTCTAGTACAATTATAAGAGGAAAACAAAAGATTTAGTGCCAATCGCAGTATTTTAAAATCATGCTTTCTATTGTGGATTGAGACTCTAAAAAATAAAGTTATCTCTAAATTATGGACAATAGTACTCAGGTCCCACAACTGCTACAGAGCATAAGGTAATTTTTCTAAATGGCTGATGAAGATCTGGGGATGAAGACAACAAGGAATAGAGCCAGCAGACCTGGCTATAGGTACAGGCACTTGGAAGCACAACCAGGCCCAGTAATTAGTCACATATCCTGAATGTGGTTCCCAAAATGGCCATCTCGCAGTGAGAAGTTGGGCAGGTTTCTTGATTACAGGGATAATAAAAGCCCCTATGTCTCGGGTGGCTGCCAGCACAATGCCTTATACACAATTATCAATAAGTTTGGGTATTCTGATTACTGTCTAATGGATGAAGTCTATTCACAGGAGTAGAAAAATATTTTTACTGAATATTTTTAAATCTGAGCAATAAATTTTATTTAAGAGTGATAGAAAATGACATTAGGAGAGTAATAATAATTGTTCACATCTCCTGAGTGATGACTATATGTCATGCATTCCTCTGACTGCTTTCATGCCAGCATCCCCAAATTTGTAGATGAGGAAACTGAACCCAGAAAGGTTAAGGATATACTGCTGGGACACAGCTCTCTCCTGGCTGCTCTGGGATTAGACCTTTCTCTCAAGAGCCATGCTAAGGAGCTTGGAGGCAGAATTAGATTTGGCCTATACCCACCAGCGACTAGCTCTGTAAGCTTTTGAGAAAGCAGAGGGGGAGACTCATTCACTAAGAAACCTTTTTAAAAAAGTATTCACACACTTTCATGTGCTCTTGTCCAGATGTCAGGGAAACAAGAGCTTGGGAGCATCCCGCCCAGGCCGTGGGGAGGGGGTGTCTTCCTGGTATGCACTACTAATTTTAACAACCAAATGAGCAAAAATTTTCTTTTCTTATTTATTTTCCTGCTTAGAACCTGAAGGGTCTTTTTATGGAAACTAGATCAAACCAAAAATCAGTTTGTTGGTATCACTGGTCACTTATAAAAAAATATAATTTATGTTCTAACAATAAAATGTCCTGTTGTTTACAGGAATCTATTTGACATGTATAAGGAGATGTGGGACTGTTTAAATATTTAAAATATACTAGAAGTACTGAGGAATCCGGCTCCTGGTTAAAAACCTACATCATTTTTTCCCAACCATAGCCTTTCCCTACAGGCCTTGCAGGGAAAGCTGCCCTCCCACACCAGTCTGGGTGGAAGTCTCTGAGGAGAGTTGCAGCCAAAGTCTCAGGAACCCCTGGTTGGCTACCTCTTTCACATATTTGCATTCCAACTTCAGATGCCTTCATTCCAAGGTCTCCTTATCTGATGACCTAGAGGTCATCTTCAGGCCTCTGTGGAACTTCCTCATGGGGAGGAGAGGAAAGCCTTGAAAATACTTTCTCCACTCTCCATCCCTAGTGCTTTCCCACTCCCAGCCCTTCCACTTCCCACTCCCAGCCCTTCCACTTCACCCTCCCGCCCCACCCAGGGTCCATATGAGGCTTTTGCTGAGCCTTTTGTCTGGGCTCCCTTAATAGTCAGGAGGCCACCCCCCATCCCCACCTCAGCCTGTGCTCATCTATCTGACACTCAACCGGTGCACCAGTCCAGAAGGGAACATATAACAGGTGAAGTTAGTGCTTTCTCCACTTTAAGCCTCTTTCTTGTATGATTTAAGAAATAATAGTACAGTATCCAAAACCAAGTAGTCTCTCCTTTTAGATATTCAAATCAAAGAGAAGCATTGTGTTACATCTGGGTTGCAGTCAGTAATCCTGATGAATGGATTTGACTTACACTGACATTTCCCCCCATTGGTGGGATCACCATAGAAGCCAGATATGCAGGTCTCGCAATGCTTGCCCGTGGTCAGGTTCTCACACTTCTCACAGATACTCTGATTAATGCATTTGCTGTGGCCATTGCACTGGCAAGCTGAAAGAAAAATAATTTTTTTTGGTCCCATTATACAACTGATGGAGTAAGTTCCACAAGATTATTTGTAAGTAAGATCCTTATTGCCTCTAAACACAAAATCAATGAAACTGGCTCACTAAAAACTAGTTTGAAAAATAAGATAAAAAAAAGCTAGTGTGTGAGATTCACAAATATATCACAGTAAGAATAAAGTCCAAAGACAGTAAAAATAATTTTTGTTGCTATTCACTGTATTATAAAAGCAATATGTGTATCACAGTCTGCTTAAAGCTTATATTCAATAATAAAATGGTTTTCTCTGGGTTGGCAGAAGACTTATTTTTTATTTTTCTCCTAACAACTGCTAAAATGTATTTTTAAGTAAAAAGCAAACTGTAGAACTACATCATATACATAGCATTTTTTAGTTTTTAAACCTTACCCTAGGACATTTCTTTCATTGATTTTTAGAGAGGGGAAGGAAAGGAGGAAGGGGAAGAGAGAAAGAAAACGGGAAGGGGAAAAAGGGAGAGAGAGAAATATAAATGTGAGAGACACATGGATTGGTTGTATCCTACACATACCCCAACCAGGGCCAGGGACCGAGCCTGTAACCCAGGCACACACCCTTGACCTGAAATCGAACCTGTGACCATTGGGTGTGAAGGCCAGTGTGCTAACCACTTAGAAACACTGGCCAGGCAGTATTTTTTAGTTTAAAAAATATACACTGGTATATCTAGAGATATCTGTATCAAACTGTTTAAAGTTTTTACTTCTCTGATGAACTATAGATGAGAAGAGAAATTTGTTTTTATTTTATCTACATCTATAATATTTAGTTTTTTATAATGAATTTATTTCATTACTTTTGTAATTTTATTACAAAATTTTATTATTTTCATTTTGAAATTTTATTTTCATTAACTGAAAATAAAAATATCTGTTATGTAAAATTACTTTTCCAAAAATGATGTTATTTTTTTTCTTTTCCTTTTTTTTTAATGTTATTTTTTTTCTTAAAGGAAATCCATATAAGTAATGTAGCTTTCAAGTTTTTATTCTTTGCATATAAGTAGTGAAACACTTGATTTTGAATACACAAGACATCTTACCTGGACAATGAATAAAAGACCAGTTGTATCTGCTGTCCTCCAAACACATACTGGAATTGAGAAGGGGCTGTGGGTAGAAATTTCCTATAGGGGCCTGAGAAGCCATCTTCATTGGTCCTTTAAAGGAGCCCTCAATGCATTTCCCTTTGCCAGTATTGCTGGGATCAGTACACCAGCCGCAGCCTGGTTGCTCCAAGCAATGACTACAGGTACAGTAGCCTGAACAATTTTCAGCTGTTAAGGAAACACAAGTTGCAATTCACTATCTCCTACAGATCTGAATTCATTGTATTTAAATCACCTTTTTCTTTAACATATTATTCAATTTCTGTTGAGTCAAAATTCCTATTCTATTGTGATTGTTTAAATGGCATAATAAATTTGAAGAACCCAATATCTTGTTCTATATGTATTAGGGACTTCTCCCCTCTCTCAATCTCAAAATGATGGAGCCAAAAGGGACCTGAGAGGTCACCTCTGAAAAGCACTTACTTTATGAGTTAGAAGATTAAGATGTGGAGACCATCGTGGCCAGCATGGCTCAGTGGTTGAGAACTGACCTTTGAATCAGGAGGTCATGGCTGGTTCCCAGTCGGTGCACATGCTCAGGTTACGGGCTTGACCCCCAGTGTGAGGTGTGCAGGAGGCAACCAATCAATGATTCCCTCTCATCAGTGATGTTTCTACCTCTCTCTCCCATCCTCTCTGAAATCAATAAAAATATAGTATTTTAAAAATGATGTGGAGGTCATACAGGATGGAGAAATATGATACTGAAGTTGAGCAATTATTTCTGTACTCTGTGACCTATCCTACATTTATTTACTTGTATCATTGTGCTTCATTCTATATGAAGATTATCATCAAACAGTCTATCAACAGATCTGAGCTGAAGGTCAGGTCCAGTTTTGTCCCTCAAATGTCCAGAGACTGACAGCACCGCCTTATTGCAAGAGTTGTCACTCATACACATCGCACTCATTAGTGCCTAGAGCTCACTTTTCACTTACGGGGACAGCTGCTCATGGTATACCACTCCATACACTGGCCATAAGGGAAGGAGGCCACATAGGCATTGGAGTCCACACACTGCTTCATGTTGCTGCACCACATGCACTCGGAGCTGCCACTGGTGCACTCTCCACACGCCGTCCTCAAAGCACAGGGCACCCGGCACTGCTTGGTGCTATGGTTCGCTGGGAAGTAAACACAAGAGAGACACTTAGAGCTCCACCATGTTGGCTAAGGTCAAAGTCTTTTCGGTTTGGGTTGTGAACAAGCTAATCTTTCCATTCAAGTAGGGGTTCTAAAGCTCCTCAAAATATATGGGACCTAGGATAAACTTCAGGGCTTTTACAACCCATCTGAATATGCAAAATCACATCTTTGTATATTTTAGGGAGGAAGGACCACAGCATTCATTAAATACAAAGCACTCAGGATCCAAAATGGCTACAAAGCTCTCCTACAGGAAGTTTAGAAGTAATATTTTAAGGTGACTCCTACAGTGCTATAAATTCTCTTCTATACTTCTTATTCCTCATATTATGGTCCCTTCCTAAAATGAGACGTGATGTCCATAGAGTCCAGCCTCCCAAAAGTGCCCAGAAAATTCCATCTATTATTTGTGAGCGCTCTGCAGGAGGAGGACACTTGTCTTGGGCTTATCTGTGTGCTGTAGGTACTGCTCCTATGCCCGCCTTTAAGCCTTAATGTAGCCCAGAAGAGAGGTTCAACTCATGAAGCTACTCAAAGTGTTTGTTCCTTCACTTCTCAAGTACAGCTTTAGCACATCAGGTTTGCTTCTGTTTTCTGTCACAGAAGTGCGCTCATCTTTTTTCTCCCTACTGACACATCTTTCTGTCCACTGTCCCTTTTGTCCCGTACGTCAGTTCTGATCTTGCCTTTGCTTTTATTTGTATTTTTGGTTCTTTCTTCCACAGTATTTCTCTGCCAACACAAGAAATTAATCTTTTAGAGCAAGTCTCAAATTTTTTGAGTTCAACAAACCAATCAAGCTCATTGTTAATTAGAATATTAGGTTCTCTGAGTAGTATTAATTATTTTTTTTAAGTTTATGGGTCATACTATTCTGAACCAGAGACAATTTCCTTCTGCTTTTAAAATTCTGGGTTATCAAGAAGCTAGAAACATCAATCAGAAAGAATATATGCACCCCTATGTTCATAGCTGCACAATTTACAATAGCTAGGATTTGGAAACAACCTAGGTGCCCATCAGCAGATGATTGGATCCAAAAACTATGGTACATTTACACAATGGAATATTATGCAGCCATAAAAAAGAAAAATTCTCATCGTTTGCAGCAACCTGGATGGAATTGGAGAACATCATGCTGAGTGAAACAAGCCAGTCAATGAAAGAGAGACACCACATGACCTCACTTATTTATGGATGATAAAGAACATTATAAACTGAAGAACCAAAAGATAGATATAGAGACAGTAAAGCAACAAGCAGACTGTCAAATTACAGCGGGGAGAGTAGGGAGATCTGGGGGAGATAATAGATCAACTGAAGGACTTGTATACATGCATATAAGTACAACCAATGGACACAAAACTCTGGGGAGGGAGGGTATGTACAGAAGGGGGGAGGCATTGGTATATGTACAAAAATAATAATTTAATTTAAAAAATGTAAAAAACAAACAAAACAACAACAACAAAAACACAAGAACAAGAAAAAAAAATAAAATTCTGGGTTATACTCTGCTTCATATTGTTAAAAATCAATACTCAATCTGTTTTTCATGAATATTTTACAATAATACTATGCCTGCTATGGTTTCTCTTTCAATGAACTTCCAGTAATGCATAATTCCCATATACTTACCATGCTTTTCACAGACACTACCATTGAGTGGGTTGATGCAGGTTGCAGCCTTCAAGCCCCGAGTACTGGGTTCTGATAAGATTCCACAGAATCCAGCATCACTGGGCTCAAATGGCATCCACTGTATCGAACTATTTGTGAATGGGGACATATCTTCCCAGCACCAGTAGGACACATTGATCTTCCGAAGGCCAACCCATGGGGTCAAGGTCAGCTTCGTCTGTAGGCAAAAGAAACACAGATATGAATATAAACAATGTTTTGACCAAAAACAGGCTTCTAAATAAAAACCATGAAGTTACAAATATCCCAAAGATACAGGAAAATTTCCCTATCCACTGACTCAGCCATCAGACCTATCATTTTTATGTTATATATCATGCTTGGCCCTTCAATATGGTATTTTTACAAAGGACAAAAATATAGCTCAGAGAATATATAAAAAATTTCACAGAGATTAGTGGCAAAACAATAATAAAGGTCCAAAATTTCTACTACATCGTATGACATGCTATGAAGAGATAGCCACCCCCAAACTTGGTTTAAATATCTATCCATCCATGAAATATTCTTGCCAATATTCCTGAAATACTGATGATGTGTCTATCCTCAGAATCATTAAGTAAGCCTGTTTTGGGGCACTAAAAAGCTCAGATAACTGGAAATTCCCACCTTCAGCTGGGGAGGAAGGGTTGGCATTGAATTTTTCTTTTTAATATATTTTATTGATTTTTTTACAGAGAGGAGGAGAGAGGGATAGAGAGCTAGAAACGTCGATGAGAGAGAAACATCGACCAGCTGCCTACTGCACACCCCCCACCTGGGATGTGCCCACAACCAATGTACATGCCCTTGACGGGAATTGAACCCGGGACCCTTCTGTCTGCAGACCGACGCTCTACCACTTAGCCAAACCAGTTTCGGCGGCATTGAATTTTATAGGGAATAATGGGATAGTAAACCCCTGGGAGAGTCTCTGCCTGGTGTTCCACTGAAATTTCCTTCCTGTTGCATTAACAAATTCTTCTAAAATAAAAGTACAAAGTTTAGCCCAGAAATGAAACATAGTCTTAATTTTGCCAGTTAAAAAATAAAATGTAGCCGGGACTGGTTTGGCTCAGTGGATAGAGCGTCGGCCTGGGGACTGAAAGGTCTGGGTTCGATCCCGGTCAAGGGCATGTACCTTGGTTGCGGGCATATCCCCAGTAGGGGGTGTGCAAGAGGCAACTGATCGATGATTCTCTTTCATCGATGTTTCTAACTCTCTAGCCCTCTCTCTTCCTCTCTGTGAAAAATCAATAAAATATATTAAAAAATAATAAATAAATAAATAAATAAATAAATAAATAAATAAATAAATAAAATGTAGCCAAAACCGGTTTGGCTCAGTGGATAGAGCGTTGGCCTGCGATCTGAAAGGTCCCAGGTTCGATTCCGGTCGAGGGCATGCACCTTGGTTGTGGGCACATCCCCAGTAGGGGGGTGTGCAAGAGGCAGCTGATCGATGATTCTCTCTCATCGATGTTTCTAACTCTCTATCCCTCTTCTCTTCCTCTGTAAAAAAAAAAAATTAATAAAATATAAAAAATAAATAAATAAAATGTATGATGTATTTCCATTTTTGAGGAAAAAATATGCATGCCTATTGAAAGACCTACAAGAAATAGACATACCCCAAAGTAGTTATTTTTAGTTGTAATGAGTAATATTTATTCTATTTTTAATGTTACTATTTTCTAAATTTCCTTTAAAATGTGTATTATTTTTTAAGGAAATAAAACAAATAAAGTTAATGCTTTTTAAAAGTTCTTCAATAACTTCTCTTTGCTTTCCTGATAAAACTCAAAGTAATTAGCATTGTAGACAAGGCCTCTCAGAATTTGGCCTTGATTCCTCATAAGACACCACTATAGCAATTCCCTTCCACCCAGCCGGCAGCTCACTAAAGTGTTTAAAATGTTAAGGTAAGAAAGAAGGTATTAAAAGAAGATAATCTGACAGTGCAAGTTCCAGTGTTACACAGCACTTCTCCAAGTGAGCTGTGTTCATGCCCTCAGTAGATAACAGATGTAGTTCTGAGGATTTTAACTCACCATGCTCTGCGATGATTGCATTATTCGCAGCTGCTTAATGACAAAGTCTATCTTCTTCTGGGTTGTAAGAGAAGCCAACAGGGCATTGTGGTTCCTACAGGACAATTTAGCTGTGTCATAAGTCTCCTTGGCCGTAGTAATTTTCAAACACATGTTTACAACCAAATGCCAGCCACTGCCACAGATATTTTCTTTTGTAAAGGATAGAGAGAAAGAAAAAAAAAATTAGAAATCACGTAAAACTACTATATTACCCTTGTGAATTAACAAAAAACTAAATGTTTTGGTGATTTGCATTCTAGGTACTTCCTTAGGATATAGTGAGAGTATCAGACACATTACTAAGGACCAAGTACAGAATATGAGAATTTTAAATGCTTTAAAAAATTAGTCATATTTCCTAGATCTCAAAAATGAGGCCAACCCTCCTATGTCTTAGAAGAAAACATTTGTTTCGTTTCAGTGTTGATTTTATAGATCGCCTTTTTAAAAACAATTAAGAATCAAACTAAAATTTAAGAGCAGAAAAATAAATATGGATATTGGAAGGCTGGAGTTAAAAACTGCAAGAAGAGAAATGAGTTGGTGAATGGACAAGTCTATTTTTCAAAAGCTGCATTGTTTTCACATCAAGTATAAAATCAAGTGCAAAATTATCCCAAAAGTAGCCGAAGCCGGTTTGGCTCAGTGATAGAGCGTCAGTCTGCGGACTGAAAGGTCCTGGGTTCAATTCCGGTCAAGGGCATTTACCTTGGTTGCAGGCACATCCCCGGTAAGGGGTGTGCAGGAGGCAGCTGGTTGATGTTTCTCTCTCATCGACGTTTCTAGCTCTCTATCTCTCTCTCTTTCTCTCTCTGTTAAAAATCAATAAAATATATATTTTTTAAAAATTATCCCAAAAGTAAAGTGAAAAGATCCTTTTTTTGGGAGGAAAACCCCAAAGTGACAGAGCTGTAGAAAACAAGACAAGACTGTAATCTGCTACTGTGACTGCCCTAAACCCACTCAAAGAACTGCACAGAAGTTGAGAATACTTCTTGGAAGACAATGAGCAAAGCAACTTCACCAGAATCAAAGTACTCTGGAGACACCATCAATAATGCTCATTACCAGTCAGATCAATGAAAGGTACAGTACCATGGGGCAGGGATCATTTAAGAGCAGATAAACTCTTGCTCCTTAAGTGTGGCATCAATGTCACAGCTTGTTCAAATGTAGATTCTGAGTCCCACCCTAGATCTCTGTCACAATCTGACTTATGGAAAGATCCTCAGGTCCTCAGCTATGCATTAAAGTTTGAGATGCAATGAGACAAAGAAGAAGTCCACTCATACAAGCTGAATCAAGTACTTCCAAAGGACATTCACAAGGAGCCTGGTGGAGCCCAATTTCCCTTAACATGCCTCAGCTGTTGCATGGAGCCACAGAAGTCCCCCTTCCTGGATATCTTGGTTAAGCAAATATATCATACAGTTTTAGTTATGGCTGGTTGGCCCCAACCCCCCTAACTCATCACCCCAAACCTCAGAAGTGCCATAAATTAAGGTATTCAGGGATGGAGATCACCCCAGGAGATGCTGTGGACACAGGCATCTCTCCTCTCCTTCCTGTCAGAAGGTGCAGACCATCTAATCCCAGTGGTCAATAAGAAATAAGTACTCTTCATTAGGTGCCCAGCAGAATGGCTGATGAGACTGCTGCATTATATTCCTGGGTTTGCACAGAAGAGGCAGGGTGAAAACAATGGAGTGGGCTCCATGATACAGAACCAAGCTGTCATTTGATTCTCCAGAGAAGCAGAAGATGTTTCACTTTATTTCAAAAGACAGTAGGAGCATACTTAAGAAAAAAAATGTATTTTTGTCTTAAAAAATAACCACAATATTGGTAAGAGAGAAGAAATGGATAAAATGAGCTTATCCCCCGCCCCTGCTGGGTTTAGACAAGTCTTTGGACTCTCCCATACACATCCAGATGCCCCTCTAAGGCTTACCGGGCAGGGCGATGCACTCCTGATTGCGGGGCTCCCACTGGCAGTTCTGGTCCAGGGCACAGCTCCTACAGCTGGTCTTCTTGTTACAGTAGTACATGGGATTATCCTTGGGGCAGTTCTCATACTTGGAAATGGAGATCTAGAACACAGTGGACAAAAGCTTTCTTCTTATATCCATAGGAAGAACTCATGGTAAGGACAAACAGGATACTAAAAATCGAATTAAAGCAGCAAACTGCAAATGGATATATAAATAAGATTCATAGGAAGCTGCACCACAGTGAAAACACTTTAGGGAAAGGTTCTACTGAAGGTCATGCCTTTACCCAGCAAGGAAGTCATTCACTCTTAAACACCATGCTTCAACCTGCTCATGTTTAAAATTGGAATGTTGAATTTAATGCTTTTCAAATACCTTCCACACAAGCTAAATTTATAGTCTACTGTTTCACAGACTATCAAAGAATGTCTTATAAATTGTCAAAGGCTGTAAAAGTTGAGTCATCATCTTTGTTGCCTTCTAACCTACATAAAAAATTACAAATATTAAGCTTTAATTATGCTAAGCCAAAATATAACAACTATAATAAAAGCATAATATGCTACTTAGACTAGACTCTTCCGGATGACCTTGTGGTCAAAGCCAGGGCTGTGAGGGAAGCCTGGTGCACGAAATTCGTGCATGGGGCTGGGAGGAGAGGGGGTGGCAGTGTCCCTCAGCCCAGCCTGCACCCTCTCCAATCTGAGACCCCTCAAGGGATGTCCGACTGCCCATTTAGGCCCGATCCAGGACTGCTGGTTCCCAAATGCTCGCCTGCCTGCCTTCCTGATTGCCCCTAACCACTGCTGCCTGCCAGCGTGATCACCCCTAACCACTATCATGCCAGACTGATTGATGTCTAACTGCTCTGCTGCCAGCCTGTTTGCCCTCAACTTCCCTCCTCTGCCGGCCTGGTCACCTCTAACTGCCCTCCCCTGCAGGGTTGATCGCCTCTAACTGCCCTTCCTTGAAGGCCTGGTCCCTCCCAACTACCCTCCCTTGCAGGCCTGGTCCCTCCCAACTGCCCTCCCCTACTGTGTGTCCACATGGGGGCAGCTATTGTGTATTGGAGTGATGATCAATCTGCATATTACTCTTTTATTAGATAGGTTAGAAGCCTGGTGCACAGGTGAGGGCCAGCTGGTTTGCCCTGAAGTGTGTCCCGGATCAGGGTGAGGGTTCCCTTGGGGCATTGGGCAGCCTGGGTGAGGGACCTGTGGTGGTTTGCAGGCCAGCCACATCCCCTGGTGACTCAAGCGGAGGCCCTGGTATCTGGAATTTATTTACCTTCTACAATTGAAACTTTGTAGCTTTGAGTGGACGCCTAGGCCGGCAAGGGCAGGAGGAAAGCTTGGCTTCCTCTGTTGCCAGGGAAACCAAAGCCTCCCTCCTGTTCTCTGTGGCTGTAGCCATCTTGGTTGGGTTTATTTGCATACTCACTCTTTTGTATTTTAGTTGTATTTTATTGAAATTGTTGTGTGAGACTGCAGTTAGGTGTTACCTATGCCGCCATCTTGGATTCTCCTACCCTGCATACTCACTCTGATTGGCTGGTGGGCATGGCTTGTGGGTGTAGTGTGGTGATGGTTAATTTGCATATTACTCTTTTATTAGATAGGATATTATTTTCACAATTCAATGTGGCTATTACATGCCTTTTAGTCTCAAATATAACTTGCTTCCAAAACCTTGCATAGGCAGAATTCACCAAGCCTCACACCAGCTCTAGTACTTAACCATGGCTAGGGAGTGGGGCATACTCAAAACACCAGTCTTCCTTCTTCTAAAACACCACAGGTCAATCCTGTGACAAGGACCTTTGGAATTAGAATGTACTGGGCATCTCTTCCTAAAAGAAAACTTGAGCAATAATAAAAATCCAAGTCTACAGTGAAGGTTTTAAAAATAACTCCAGGTCAGTTTTTATAACATTCACACTGTAATCTAAACATAACCCCACTCTGGACTTTTCCAACCTCTGAAATCTTTAAGAGACAGCCCCTGACCTGGCCTTCCGCGCAGCTGTGGTTCTTAGGGACACAATATTCGTTGCACCAGTGGCAGTCATTGGTGTTGGCTGTGCAGCTATAACAATCCGTGTGTTGGTCACATCTGTCATGGGCAAAAGCTATGAAGAGAAGAAAAAATCATCAACTGTGACAGCTCTTCCTTAGAAAAGTCACAGGCCATTACAGTTTCTGTTGAGCACAATCTGAGACTAAGGCCAAAAAAATGTAAGAAGTGTCAGGAAGTAAAATGATGAGTGCAACTGCTAGGAAAATTTATCTGTCAGGTTAAAATAGATTTAGAAATAAGTAAATAATCTGGAAAAAAAAAAACCACACTATTTTGTACCCACTCTCCCCAACAAAAGTACACAGAGAATGAAAAACAAAGAGAGGCTACTTTACTTTAACAATGAGATGAAATGGAAGTAGCTATGATTCTTTAAATATTTTTCTTCCCAAGAAAAAAATCAACTAACAATAGAATGAACACAATAGAAAGAGCTTTCCTGGAGCCAAACAAAGTAAAATAGAAGCCCAAACCATTCCTCCCAGCTATAAACACAAGGCTAATCTGGGCACAGGAAGTAGACAGCACCACAGAACCCCAAAGGAGGCATTTGGCTGAGCTGCATTTTCTACACATACATGTAAGTCCAGGAGTATAATTTTGAAAACTTCTAGGCTACTGAAGACTTGTTGCATTGCTTACTGACCCTAGATAGATTAAGCTCAGCAACAAAAAAGAAGCTGCACAACCATAATGCCTTATGTGTTGAATCACTCATGGACATAGCACATGGTGGAATCTGTGGATAAGAGTAGGTAGGGCCCACCCTCACAAAGACTCCAGCATCCTGCTCCTTAGGTTGTTCTTCCTGCCCTGGTCATCACCCCGAAGACAGAGTCCAAACAGAAAGCAGAGTGAACCAGAAAGGCAACATTTGAGATGAGTTAACATAAAATGAGGTCATACTGAACCACCTAAGGTAAGTGAATATTATTTCCTATAAGCTTTCACCTTTAGTTTGAACTTTAAAAATGTGGTTAAAAAATAACTATATCACTGATTTTATCCCTTTTAGGAGACAGGGACTAACCCTACCAGATTCTGATAATCTCATTTCTCCAGCACTCACCAGCCCACAGTGAACCTGGAAGGTTGCCTGGGTATTCTTACTGCAGATTTATGTTCAGCTTTTTTTTTTTTTTAATATATATTTTATTGATTTTTTACAGAGAGGAAGAGAGAGGGCTAGAGAGCCAGAAACATCGATGAGAAAGAATCATCGATCAGCTGCCTCTTGCACACCCCCTACTGGGGATGTGCCCGCAACCAACGTACATGCCCTTGACTGGAATCGAACCTGGGACCTTTCAGTACGTAGGCCGACGCTCTATCCGTTGAGCCAAACTGGTTTCGGCTTATGTTCAGCTTTGAAAGCTGCCATAACTCTCATGGTAACTCTATACCAACCTTAATGGTTAAAAAATTCAGTCAACATACTTTAAATTAATTGAAGTGAACAAATATTCTGCAGAGACATTTTCCTTACTCTTAATAGACTTTCCCACATATATTACTCTGGATTGTGTCAGAGCACAAGGGTAAAAAGTAGGCAAAATGAAAAAAGTTTGGAAAGCATAAGCGGTTGTTCTAGAAGCAGGGATCACTACTCATCATCAGCAACTTCTGTCATGCTGTCACTACTGTGCCCAACTTGAGAAGTTAGAAAACAATAGTACTTTGCACAGAGAGCAACTTTATCTCTATCTACGAGAGTAATAGCTTTTACTGGGTTGGCCCTCTTCTTCTCATCCTTAACATTAGAACTGTATAACACAATATGGTAGTCACTACCCACATGTAGTTCTTTTTTTTTTTATTAATCTCACCCGAGAATATTTTTCCATTGATTTTTAGAAAGAGTGGAAGGGAGGGGGAGATATAGAAGTGAGAGAGACACATCGATTGGTTGCCTTCCACACATACCCTGACCAGGGCTGGGGATCGAGCCTGCAAGTACATGCCTCCTTGATCAGAATTGAACCTCCCTTCACTCTATGGGCCAAAACTCTATCCCCTGAGCCAAAATGGCTACGGTCACATGTAATTTTTAATTTACATTAATTAAAATTAAAATTTCAGTTCTTCGGTCATACCAGTCTCATTCCGAAGTACTTGATAAGCACATGTCACTAGTAGCCATCATATTGAGACAGTGCAAATATAGAACATTTCCATCAACACAAACCAATTTCAGCCAGGTTCTGGAATTGGTATAGAGTCTATGCAAAGCCAAGGAGGTTTTTTTCTCTATGATTTGCAGATAGGTTGTAGGAGCCACATGGCATCCTCCTAACCATTGTAAAGATGTTTACAAACCAACTATTCATAAAGCCTTTGCATAAGTTATTATTAAATATTTTTGGATAATAACATGAAATCTAAAAAGTGTACATATGCTAAATGCCTTCATGATTCAGATAAAATGAGAACTCAAATTAATTTAAAGAAGAAAAAAAAAACATACTTCTTTTGGAAAAACATTCTGATTTTAACTTTTCTTCTTGTGCTTCTGTTGCTAACTCCCAGGAAATACACTGAGATGACCCTGTGTCCCACACACACCGGATGCCAGGTCCTGCTGCTAGACAAGCAGCTTCACTCTGGTGTGCTTCACACCGTTCCGAGGTAAATACCAGGATGTCACTGAGGAGGAGACTATTGAAGCCGCCAAACACATACATGGTGCTAAAAGGAAAAACAAAAAAGGGAGAATAGTTTACTAAAACCTTAAGTAAACAAAGTCATGATATACTATTTCAATCTTCAGACAAACCTTATATATTGATAGTTCTGTAAGAAATTATTTTTTCAGGATCTCAAAAGTTATTCTTATACCTTTCCCTCTCATCTTTCTCACTCAACTACCCTGGGTAGGGTCCCTAGGCCTGGCTGGCGATCAGGGCCAATCAGCTTCCCTGCCTCCCCACCTCCTCTTTCCCTCGTTCCCTCAGTGCCCGTTGCTGCCACTGGTTGCCCACCATGTTCCATGTCACCCCCAGGTGGTCAGCACATATCATAGCCAGCAATTGAACTCCCAGTCGAACTCCCAAAGGGACACTTTGTATACTAGCCATATATATAGATTTCAGAGAGGAAGGAAAAGGGATAGAGAGACCAAAACATCAATAATGAGAATCATTGATTGGCTCCCTTCTACACACCCCTTACTAAGGAGGATCGAGCCTGCAACCCAGGCATGTGCCCTTGGCCGGAATTGAACCTGGGCCCCTTTAGTCCACAGGCAAAACTCTACTCACTGAGCCAAACCAGCTAGAGCAGTCATGTGTTTTTTGCATGTTTGTGCTTTATGTTGGTGATTCTGCTGTTTTAAATGGCCCCAAAGCAATAGTGTTGAAGTGTTGTCCAGGATGTGGCTTATAGAGAAAATACTAATACATGCATTAGATGAGTCATTTAAGCATGAGTCATAGTGCTGTTGACTATGAGCTCAATGTTAATGAATCAACAATATATATATAAATAAGGTGTGTCGTTAAACAGAAATACACACAAAACAAAATTATAAATTGATCAGTTGATGAAAATGTAAGAGACTTGCAATAACCTAACCCTGTATTTCCCTGGGTGTAAAAACTCAATATTCTCAAATTCAGTGTTTGTGGTGATGTTATAGAATATAATTATACCACAAAAATGATAACCAACTATTATATATTCTGATGGCATTTTATGCCAGGGAGCTTCAAAATAATCAGGAATGGGTTAGGGTTTAAAATTTCCATAATAAAAAGTTTTAACATTAAAAAAAAAAAACACAATCTATAAGTACATGATTTATCTGCATTTTACCTAAAACATCTTTTGATATTTTAAGACTATATTAAATTGCTAGCATTAATATTAAAATAGGGTCTATTACCTCTTACATATTAACATGTAATAATGATTTTAATTTGTTCTTAGACTAAGGGTAAAAAAAAATCTAATAGAATCATTCATAGTTTCTGTTTCTAAAAAGAACAAAATCCAAACCATCCTATTCATTTAGACATTTTTTTTTTTCAGAAATATCTAGTTGACATGTACTCTGTATAAAGAAATTTCTGGTTTCTGCTCCTCAGCCTCTAAGAGTCAGTAGAAAGCTCAGCTACACCTCTCAGCTGCTTCAACTGGATGAGGAAACTCCCATAGGCTAAAGCAGCTCAATTTATCTCTTTGAACTCTATCTCTTATTATCTTTTTACTAGAGGCCCAGTGCACAAAATTCATGCATGGGAGGGGGGGGGTTGTTTCCTCAGTCCAGCTTGCACCCTCTCCAATCTAAGATCCCATTCACAATCCGGGACTGCTGGCTCCCAACCACTTGCCTGCCTGCAAGCCTGATCACCCCCTAACCACTCCCCTGCCAGCCTAATCAATGCCTAACTGCTCCCCTTCTGGCCGATTGCCCCAACTGTTTTCCCCTGCTGGCTCAATTACCCCCAACTCCCCTCCCCTGCTGGCCATCTTTGACTAAATGGGAATGACCATCTTGTGCAAGGGTGTGAGGGTCAATCTGCATATTACCTCTTTATTATGTAGGATTTTTAAACATTTTTATTTATTTCAGAGAGGAAGGAAGAGGGAGAGAGAGAAATATCAATTCTGAGAGAGAATCACTGATTGGCTGCCTCCTGCATGCCCCACACAGGGGATCGAGCCCACCATGCAGACATGTGCTCTGACTGGGACTAGAACCCTGACTTCCTGGTTCCTAGGTTGATGCTCAACCACTAAGCCACACTGGCCAGATGACTCATTGCTTATTTTCTGCTCAGTATTTCTTCATTATCTTGTTAAATCCTTACTGTATACTTTTTAGTTGTCTTTTAATGGGAAACTTCATTGGCTGATGCCAGAAGTGAAAGTCCTCCTTTGGTCCAATGTCAAGATTTTCAACCTTTTAAGTGAAGCCCAATTCATCTTTGGAAACATGATGATGTAAGGCTCTGGTGGTTTGGAATGCTATGTTTGAACAAAGCTGCAAGCAGCTCAGAAGGTAATGGAGAAGGCCCTAGCTAACTATTTTTTAACAGATCCATCAGCAAAGCGTATAATCCTTACTAGCTTAAATTGTTTAAGCAAAACCACTGGCTGATTACTAAACAACAATGACCTAGGAAGTCAGATTGAAAAAAAAAAAAAAAAAAAAAAAACAACTAGAAAAATCAGCAAACAGACTCCATAGAATTAGTCTAGGCAAGCCACTAAACAACAAAAACAATAGTTGGTGGTGATGGTGGGGAAATCAGAACCATATTTGCTACAATATATTGCCAAAAATGTTTAGTTTTCAACAAAATATTATAAGCTATGCAAGAAACAAAAAATATGACCCATACAGAGGAGACAAAACAATCAATCAAAACTGTTTCACCCAAGCTGATTTGGCTCAGTAAACAGAGCGTAGGCCTGTGAACTGAAGGGCCCTGGGTTCTATTCCAGTCAAGGGCACATTTCTGGGTTGCAGGCTCAATTCCCAATAGGGGATGTGCAGGAGGCAGCTGATCAATGATTCTCTCTCAGCACTGATGTTTCTATAATATATGTCTTTCCCTCTCCCTTCCTCTCTAAAATCAATAAAAATATTTTTAAATGGGTGAAAACTTCCAAAATTTTAATAAAATGACTAATCTATACACCCATAAAGTTCACCCAACTCCAAGATTGACACAAAAAGGATCCACACTTAAACACATTATAACCAAGATGCCTTCTTTTTCTTTCTTTCTTTTTTTTTTTTTTTTTTTTTTTTAGAAAGAAAGAGAAACATCAATTGGTTGCCTTCTGTATGAATGTAGGAATTGAACCCACAACCTAGGTATGTGAACTGACCAGGAATGAAACACATGATCTTTTGGCATATGGGACAATATTCGAATCCACTGAGTTACACCAACCAGAGCATGGCCTAAAATTGTAAAAGGTGAAGTAAATAACAGTAATAACAGCAGAAACAAAATGAGAAAAATTAACATGATTAGGCTATTAACAAATAAAAAATCTTTAAAGTACAGTTTAAGGAACAGTGGAAAGGCCACTCTGAATGGGCCTTATTTAGAGCCTTCTCCAGGGCAGGCTGGTAAAAAGCGCTGTTAGTTTGGGCTAGGCATTTTGACCAATGCAATGCAGACTTCACATTATTAGGGACTATAAACTTGTTCTATATGAAGCTTTACAATCTCCCCATCTCTGTTCCCCTACCTTATTCTCCCCTATCTGATGTGCCCTCTCTCTTTTTTTTAAAACTCCTTACCATTCAGACCTAAGTTCCATGAACAGTAGAAAATGACAGAGGGCATAAGACAGTAATTGCACATAACTTTTGTGGTCCCATGCATTCAGACAACATAGCATACTCCTTCATGCTAACAAAAAAAAGCATGGCATTAAAAGAAATTCAAATGTACATCAAATATTTTAAATATAAATCAGGAAATTCATGCCTACGTAATTCTGTGAAAAATGAACAAGGTGGGAAAATGCTGAGAATAATATGCAAACCCAATTCAATTTCTTCATATTTTACTTCATTTTCATTTTAAACCCAAGTGAAAAGGAAAAAGCACTTCTTTTCCAATTACCTGTTGTGTAGGACTGCTGAGTGGCCAAATCTGTTGACATCATGATGCAGATCAGGTCTGGGAAGCACTGACCAGCGGTCACAAGCTGGGAGCAAGAAAAACACATTTCAAATTAGACTGCCATTCATCATCGGTAGGAAGTAACGTTTTCTTTGTTTTCTTTGGGAAGAAGACTACACAAACGCAATCACATAAAATGTTTCTCTTGCTTTTTCTGAGTAACACCTTCATTACTGAGGTAAAATGCAGCAGCAGCAGAATAGCAAAGTGTGGAAGAAAGGCAGGACCACGCGGCAATTCTAATTAGCGAATCCAACATCCCTGACACCCACACCACTCACCCTGGTGCCTATCAATTTCACTCGCTAGAATGTTTTTTAACTTAAGCAAAATTTTCAAACCTTATGTAAGTAAAACATATGGGTTCTATAATTATTTTCCACTCTATACTGACTTGCCCAAATGGTAGCAAAAATAGGAAAATACAGGAGGAAAATTAAAACTTAAAAAAAATTCAAACTTTCTTTAAATTTTCAAAAGTCCTTTTGTAGAGCCGTGGCTGGTGAGGTTCAATAGGATGGCACATTGTCCTGTCCACTGAAAGGTGGTGGGTTCAATTCCTGGTCAGGGCACATACCTGGGTTGTGGATTCAATGATCCCTAGTTAGGGCAACTACAGGAGGTAACCAATCAATGTTTCTCTCTCACATCGATATTTCTCTCTCTCTCCCTTTCTCTCTCTAAAATAAAAAAATAAAAAGCATATTCTCAGGTGAGAAAAATAAAATGAAATAAAATAAAAGTCCTTCCCTAGATCTCTTAGATCTACTAATTTTCCTTTGTTCCGATCCATGCTATCAACTTAACTTCTCTTGCTGGTAAACCACACCAAACTCACACGCACTGTCTGCTTCCAAAATACTTAAGACATTCACACTCCCTAAGCAAAGGTTCTTCTTTTCAATCCAGACATTTATTCAACCTTGACAACAACAGCTTTCATTTCTTTCTTCTACCAGCCCACTCTGTGGTCTTCCTCACATGGAGAACAGAGGCTTCTTGCACCCACCTTGCTTCCTTCCCTAAAACCACAGTGTGGCAAAGTCCCTTTCTTCTTAGTGCACTGGCTTTCATCACAGCATTTAAATATGCCCAAACCCTGACCAGTATGGCTCAATTGGTTGACTGGTGTCCCGTGTTCTAATTTCTGGTCAGGGCATGTGGGAGGCAGCCAGTAGATGTTGCCCTCTCACATCAATGTTTCTCTCTGTCACTCTTTCCCTTCTTCTCTCTCCAAAAACAGTAATAAAAAGATATGTTTAAAAATTAAAAATAAATAAAGATGCCCAAGAAGGTACTCAACTCTCCCCTTCTTCCCCTCACAGATAAATTTTTTTAAATTAAAATAGTCAATATTCACTGTGTAGATCTCCTGCAATCTGAATTACTCATCCGTATCTAAAGAATCTATCTATCTATATAAAAGCCTAAACAACCGAGCAACTGAATGACCAGTCATCCGGTCACTATGATGTGCACTGACCACCAGGGAGCAGATGCTCAATGTAGGAGCTTCCCCCTACATTGTGAGTGTGCTCTCACAGCAGGAGCATCGCTCAGCTGACCGGTGGGTGCCAGATGCAGGGCTCACAGCTGGCTGCCGCAGCCCGGAGATCACAGTGGAATGGCAGCAGGCCCAATCGGGTTGGGATGAGCAGGAGCTGCAGGCAGGAGCAACAGGTGGCATTGGACTACCAGTTTCAGCCCATTCCCCGCAGGCTATGCCAAGGGACCCCTCCGATGCACAAATCCATGCACTGGGCCATTAGTAATAAATAACATCTGTTGCTAGATCTGAAAGACTCTCCAGGATTTATTTTAACCCCTTTGCAGCCATTGTTAACAGTTCCCTTGTAGGATGCCAATTTTGCCTCACTTTCCTCCTACTCTTCCTACATGCTTTCATAGTCTGCATGCTGTTTCTGACTTCTTTATCCATATATATGTCCTCTGGCTCTTTGCTCATCCCTGATGACATTTGTCCCTTATAGAATTTTATCCTAGAGCTTCCCACTGATCTTGGTATTACTCTATCCCATAGTCATCTCCAGCTGAACATTCTCCCAAATTCATCTTACTCACCTTGTCCCAGCCCCATCCGGTACTTCTATTTCCAGCCTTGGTAAAAAGCACCTCTACGGTGGCTCACACTAGATACTTGGGAATCAAGATGCTTTCATCTCTCTCAAAATATAGCCCAGATAATCCTCAAGTTCCCAGGAGTTCTCAAAACCATCTATCTCTTTATCCTCATGGCCCCTTCCACAGCCTTAGTTCAAACCCTCCTCAATACTTCAGCCTTAAAATTTCCATCTTGCCCTCCCCAACTACTCACGCATGCCACAAAGAGATCTTTCTAAGACCAAATACAATTCTGTCACCTCCTCTGTAAGATTCTTCAAAAAGCCTAAACTCCTCATCATGACATCACAGGTCTTTCAGGATCTAACCAGTCTGATAGCTGCTTGGGTCTCTAGTTCAGTTGAAGCCATTCCTCGCCTATGTGCAGCGATAATACCGCCAAAACTATTTACAGACCTCAAGTATGGAATGGTCCCTTTTCGTCTCCATTGAGAAGTCCACCTAACTTCACTTAGCTGACTTCCCAGTGTTCCAGGATCCAGCCTAAAGGACATCTTCCCCAACCATAACCCTCTTCCCTATACATTAGGAATGTTCATAGGTACTCTTATACATTCATCTTAGAGCAAGTAACACCATGAACTGCAATTATATTGTATACTCGGTTCTCTACCTCCCACCCTATGAGGCCAAGGGCAATGTAGAAGCTCAGTGGCTGGCACAGAAATGAACATCCAATGATGATATTTATCCAAGAGAATAGCAAGCATTTATTCTGCATGAACAAATACTGCCCTCTTCTGGAAAAATGTATTACCACACTAGAATTTTTAAAAATGTGAAATTGGTATCTAGGGAACCAACTTAACACAATGTGGTGGTTAACAACTACATGACACTACATCTGTAGCACAGGAGAGACCAGTTATCCCAACTCATCCTCAAAAATTAATATTCAATGCTGAAACCTGTTTGGCTCAGTGGTAGAGCGTCAGTCTGCGGACTGAAAGGTCCCAGGTTTGATTCCGGTCAAGGGCATGTACATTGGCTGTGGGCACATCCCTGGTAGGGGGTATGCAAGAGACAGCTGGTCGATGTTTCTCTCTCATCAATGTTTCTAGCTCTCTATCTCTCTCCCTTCCTCTCTGTAAAAATCAATAAAATATATTTTTTTTAAATTAACATTCAATGTATATTCAACTACTTAAAGGAGTGACTTCAAAAAAAATGTAATACAGAAGTCATGTTTTTTAATAGAGGTAACATTAGTCAAATTAACATAAAAATACTATTTAGGCCTCTTTCAAATGGCCTGACCATTTTTAACTAGGAATATTTTCCATTTCCTTTAAAATGCTACTTATAGACAAAAAAGACTCTTGAAAATAAAAGTGTTTTGGGGAAACTTACCAATGTCATAAGCCATGAAATCTGAAGAAAAGCATTTTGCGCCATGGCTCATGGATGTGTCATTGTGTGTGTTTCCTCCAAACACCAGCATGGTTCCACTCACTATCACAGCTGTGTGCAAGTAACGGAAAAATTGGCTGTCCTTAAGAATGGTCCTTTTGAGATTTAAAAATAATAAATACAAGTTTAGTTTTTTATAATACTTACCACCTATTCACTAATGCAAACATAACCTTGTTAGTTTTTTTGTTAATCCTCACCCAAAGATATTTTTGCCATTGATTTTTAGAGACAGTGAAAAGGAAGTGCGGGGAGGGGGGCAGCAAGAGAGAATGAGAGAGAGAGAGAGAGAGAGAGAGAGAGAGAGAGAGAGAGAGAGAGAGAGAGAGAGAGAGAAACACACATGGATTGTTTATGCTAGGGGATTGTACCTACAACCCGACTATATACACTTTGATCCAAGGGCTGACACTCTAACCACTGAACCAAACTAACCAGGGCAACATAATATATATATTTTTTTTTTTTTTTTTTTTTTTTAATTGATTTCAGAGAGGAAGGGAGAGGAAGTGAGAGAAACATCAATGATGAGAACCATTGATTGGCTGCCTCCTGCACACCCCCTACTGGGGATCAACGACCCTGTAACCCAGGCTTGTGCCCTTGACAGGAATCGAACCCGGGACCCTTCAACTGATGTTCTATCCACTGAGCAGAACTGGTTAGGGTACATAACCATTTTCTTAAGTTCATATCCAAATGTTCAAATACTTCTGGATTTTTCCCTACATATAACTTTCTTAATAATAACTAAACATGTAAAATCTTAAAGACTTATGAGAATTTTGACAAAATATATTAAGAGCCTTAAAAATTGATGACCTTGCCAGCACCGGTTTGGCTCAGTGGATAGAGCGTCGGCCTGCAGACTGAAGGGTCCCGGGTTCGATTCCGGTCAAGGGCATGTACCTTGGTTGCGGGCAAATCCCCAGTGGGGAGTGTGCAAGAGGCAGCTGGTCGATGATTCTCTCTCATCGATGTTTCTAACTCTCTATCCCTCTCTCTTCCTCTCTGTGAAAAATCAATAAAATATATTTTTTTAAAAATTGATGACCTTATCATTGTAGTTTCTAGATAGTAATCATATGGAAAGCAGACAGAAGCTTATGCACAACAGCCGAAACCAGTTTGGCTCAGTGGATAGAGTGTCAGCCTGCGGACTGAAAGGTCCCAGGTTTGATTCTGGTCATGGGCATGTACCTTGGTTGCGGGTGCATCCCCAGTAGGGGGTGTACAAGAGGCAGCTGATGGATGAATCTCTCTCATCAATGTTTCTAACTCTCTATCCCTCTCTCTTCTTCTCTGTAAAAAAATCAATAAAATATATATTTTTTTAAAAGAAGTTTATGCACAATGCTTTATCAGTAAAACAAAAGCTAGAAACCAAAATGTTCAATATACTTACACAATGGAGTATTACACAGCCACTGAAAGTGACAGAATATAAAACTGATCCACAATATGGCCTCAAGTATGTATGGAAATACAAAGAGAAACTTGCTTTTTAATTATATTATTTCATATCTCAAATTTGCTTTACATTTATTAAGATTAGAATACTTTATAAAGACCAACATATAGTTTGAGTGAACAGAGCTTTAATCTTTCAGATAATGAGACAATCTCTGTTTGGGGTTTCATGGAATGATGACACCCTTAGTCATCAAGGAAAGGTAAAATGGGGAAAAAAAGGAGAAAGAAAAAAGAGAAGTTAAAATGGATTGAACTATAACAGTGTGCATAAACTCAAAATAATTTATTCTTTAGGATACTGAAGAGCTAAAATTTTACAGTGGTACTGAGTGTCTGAAAATCGAAAACCATTCAAAAAATACCAAGCATTTTCTTGATCAACCTACTACAAGAAATACCAGCTACTTTATTACCTTCTGCTTATTTTCCAGTTTCTTTGTAACAAATAAGAGAATTACCTGCTAGGCCTAAAGAAAAAAACATTTTGGCTCAGTGGATAGGCCTGTGGACTGAAGGGTCCTAGATTAGATACCAGTCAAGGGCACTTGCCTGGGTTGCGGGCTCGATCCCCAGTAGGGGGCGAGTAGGAGGCAGCCGATCAATGATTCTCTCTCATCCCTAATATTTCTATCTCTCCTTCTCCCTTCCTCTCTGAAATAAAAAATATATATTAAAAAAAAAATATATATATATAGTACATTTTCCCACACCTTAAAATGAAAGCTCAAGAAAAAGCACCTACCACATCTGGGTGTCCACGTCGTATCTGTAGAGATCATCTGCGAGCCGGTATTTATTGGCGCTGAAAGCCTTGTAGCCTCCATGAACATAGACTGCTCTAGTCCTGTGGTCATAGACACTGCTATGGCCATAACCCCCTTGGACAAGGGCACCCTGGGTATGTAATATACTCCACGTATTCTTATCTGAAAATGGAAAACAGTTAAAGGCAAATGCTGCAGGCTCCTCTTCTCTAATACTTAAAACTACCAAATAGCTTAGGATAAGAGAAGAGATTCTGGGAGACTTGATACATATAAATTTTTTTTTTATCATTTTATTTTTAAAGGAAGACCACCTAAAACTAATAAAGTCAGGTGCCAAACTTCAATTTATTAAATGTTTTAATGTTCGGCCAAGACCGGTTTGGCTCAATGGATAGAACGTCGGCTTGGGGACTGAAAGGTCCCAGGTTCAATTCCAGTCAAGGGCATGTACCTTGGTTGCGGGCATATCCCCAGTAGGGGGTGTGCAAGAGGCAGCTGATCGATGACTCTCTCTCGTTGATGTTTCTAACTCTCTATCTCTCTCCCTTCCTTTCTGTACAAAATCAATAAAATCTATTTAAAAAATAAATAAATAAATGTTTTAATGTTCTAATATACCATATTGGAAAAGAATTACATTAAGTTTAAGAGTCAGAGTCCCCTCAATTGAACATTTAATTCCCCATGTCAATACACAGATATACTTCATGGGTCTGCTTTCTCAAAGTATAAATTACTAGAGGCCCAGTGCATGAAACTCGTGCACTGGAGAGGGGTCCCTCAGCCCAGCCTGCCTCCTTTCACATACTGGGAGCCCTCAGGGGATGTCCTACGGATGGCTTAAGCCTGCTCCCATTGGGAACCGACCTAAGCCGCAGTCTGACCTCCCTTTGTGGGAGGCAACAGGGCTGATCAGGGGAAGGCGCCAGCCCCATCACGCTGCTGCTGTAGCCACGGCCAGTCTCCACAGCCGCCAAAGTATTTACATCAATATGGACTTCAGTCCCTTCACTATGAAAAATGACAACTTTCTTTAGGCATTTTCAAGATGTGTTTTTCACAGGATAGGACGTTTCTTTCTTTCTTTTTATTTTTATCCTCACCTGAGGATATGTTTCCATTGATATTTTCCCCTTCCCTCTGATCCCAATTTCAGCTCCTTCCCAAGCCAAAAGCCTCCGCCCCAGGTTTAGGCTTGGGAAGGGGTTCCCCCAGCACCTCCCCAAGCCTAAAGCCTCCCCCAGCCTAAAGCCTCCACCAGCACAATGAAGGTTGTCTACACCTCCCCCCCCCCCCCCCCCCCCCCCCGCACCTCTGATCATAGGCTTGGTCCCTTCCTAAGCCTTAAAGCCTCTGCCCTGGCTTTAGGCTTGAGAAGGGAACCCCTGCCGCCTCTCTGATAGCGAGCTCAGCCCCTTCCCAAGCCTAAAGCCTCTGCCTGATGGCCAACTGGGAGTGACCTGGATGCTGAGGAGGTTCCCCGGACCCAAGTATGTAGGCAAATTAACCACCATCTTTGTTGGGTTAATTTGCATACTCACTCTTATTGGCTATGGGCATAGCGAAGGTACAGTCAATTTACATGTTTCTCTATTATTAGGTAAGATAGCCAGTACTCCTATTTCATGACAACATAAAATAAAATTTAACCAAAGGAAAGATTTTATAATAATACTCCCTAAACCAATCTCTAAAGAGCTAAATAAATGTGTGTGTTTTTTCAGAATGCATTGCTTTGAATCATTTTTATTCATTTATTTTATTTTCAGTTCCTAAAGCAGTTAGTGCCATCTTTGACTCTGTGCTAAATTGACAGTAACAAATATACTGCATACTACATAGCAGCACCATAATCTGAATTTCACTAGTAATACTTCAATGTTAACTGCATTTCAAGATAAAGTACTAGGCCAAGGTTAGGTTGAATTGTAAAAAAGCCATAATTATTAGGGTAGTTTTAAATTTCACATTCAAAAAAATATCACAGGAAAAATATACCTACCCAAGTCATATTCCTGTACATTGCTTATGTACCCATAGAGAGGGCAGTGACCAAAGATGACCAGCATGACCACTCGGCCCGTTTTCAGCGTGATAATGTGTGCCGAATGCCCAACAACCGCATACTGCTCCTTTGCTTTCGGAGACAACAATACCCATGATTCATTATGAATATGAAACACTCTCAACTCATTGGTCACATTCCCTGTTGAATCAATTTTTCCTCCGTACATGTAAATTTTATCCTGGGGAAAAAATGTGAACAAAACTCTAAAAACATAGAAAGGATTAAATCTGAGGAGAGAGAAAGAGCAGTTCAAAACCTCAATATTATTCTTAGCTTAAAAAGTGTTAGTGAAATGCAGCTTTCAGTGAATGTCTAGGAAAATGATGGCAAAAGAAACAAAATAAAATAAGTTGTATTCTACCCTGTTTCCCCAAAAATAAGACAGTGTCTTATATTATTTTTTTCTCCCAAAGCTGCGCGAGGTCTTATTTTCAGGGAATGTCTTATCTTTCCATGCGCTAGGTCTTATTTTTCAGAGGATGTCTTATTTTCGGGGAAACACGGTATATCTCTAACTTGCCACTTTTCTTGGACTTCCTCATGCAAAACCTTTACTACAGTGACAAAATGATTAGAAAAATAAAATTGAAAAGTTCCTTCAGCCTACCATAAACCACAAAAACAAGGAAATGAAAATGATTACCTAGTTATATTGCAATGTGGCTTTTCTTGGCTAACCTTGCTAATATAAGAAACATAAACATTAATCAATATTATATTATGTTAATTTTTAACCATCTAGTACCACAATCATAATATCCTAGTACAATTTGAATCCATTAATATTTCTCATGTTAAATTTGTTTCAACTTTAACTTCCACTTATATATTAGCCAATTATAAACCCCTGCAGCCCTAGCCAGTTTGGCTCAGTGGCTAGAGCTTTGGCACATGCCCGGGTTGTAGGCTCGATCCCCAATAGGGAGCATGTAGGAAGCAGCCAATCAATGATTCTCTCTCATCAAAGATGTTCCTCCTCTTTCCCTCTCTCCCTTCCTCTCTGAAATATATATATATATATATATATATATATATATATATATATATATATATATATATATCCTTACAAATATAAAGTTTTTCCAAAATTAAAAAAAGACACCGAAGTCAAAATCAGCAACAAAAAATGTTGAGCTCTTATTATAAACAAAATCATAGAGACAAAAAAGCAGAATGGTACTTATCAGGGGCTAAGGGAGGAAAAAATGAGGACCTAAGTGTTTAATGGGCATAAGTTGCAGTTTTCTTAGATGAAGTTACAGAGATGGATGGTGGTGATGTTTGCACAACATTATGAATGTATTTAATACCACTAAAATTTATACTTAAAAATGGCAAAGATGATAACTTCTATGTGATATGTATTTTACTACGACCAAAAGGTTAGGGGGGAAAAACATTACATAATTTTTCAACCACATAATATGAAAAAGTCACTTTGGAAGAGTTGAGTTTCTAGCTCAGTAGAGTGGAGACATTTTACCTTGTATAATGCTAAAGAATGGCCATATCTAATAACCACATTGTTCACAGAACGATTCAGTGCAAGCCACTCCCTAGAAGCAAGGTCATACCTACAAAACAAACAGATCATATTTTTACCCAAATGACAGCACAGAATATCTTATACTCTTTTATTTGTGATAGAATCTAGCTTAGAGATGCTCATTACATCTGACATGCATATGGACAGGCCCCTGGGTGAACAAACCTCATATCTGAACCTACTATGCATATGAGAACTCAGGAAGGAGGGCTGGGTTGTATAGCCTTGAGGCAAGAATGAAAGAAATCTAATGGAAGTTTCTAATGATCTCTGAAAACCTCTTCTACACACAGTTTAAATAACCTGAAGACAGCATTATACCAGTAGTTCTCAACCTTTCTATTGCCACAACCCTTTAATACAGTTCCTCATGTTGTGGTGACCCCCAACCATAAAATTATTTTTGTCGCTACTTCATAACTATAATTTTGCTGTTATGAATCATAATGTAAATATCTGTGTCTTCCGATTGTCTTAGGTGACCCAGTCATAACCCACAGGTTGAGAACCGCTGCTGAAAGCCTTCACTATCAAATAGCCTTTTTCTAGTTGAGTTCATATGTACTCCTTTCTCTATATTCTTTCATGTTTAAGAAGAGTCTGTTTGCTAGCTTTAGAGTTGAATGACACCTTGGCTGGGTATAATATTCTTGAGCCATCCATTCTTTCCTTCAGAAATTTGCAGATACTGCTCCCTTGAATGCTGATATTAAATGTTGCTAGGAGAAATCAGAAGCAAGTATGATTTCTCCCCCTTTTATGTGGTTTACTTTTCTGCTTAGACAAGTCTCATTCTCATTGTCTCTCCCTGACTCTATTTCCTCCTTCTCACCCTCCCTTTCTTTCCCTATATATCTCATTCTCACTGTGTTTTTAAAAAAAAAAAACACACACACACAAAAAAAAACACAGTACTATACTTTGGGTAAAAATAACTCAAAACTATCTAGGAAAATGGTTTTACAGAACTGACTGCATACCGCTGCAAGACTTTTGTGGAGTTCTGACCATGCAAGGTGTTTTCTGAGAAGGATTACTGTGGCTTCTGTAAACACATTTTTACACTTACTATTCAAGCCAATGGACTCATTGCTCCTATTTGCTTACTCCTGCACAGATATTGATACATACAAGTTTTGCAGCTGTCAGTGGTTTAGTTTTACCTATCTGTGTAGATCAAGCATGTCAAACTCGTGGGCCCACAATGAATATTTTGGGGGCCCAGCCAATATAATGGTAAGAAACGTTTTAATAAAAATTTTGTGACTTAATTTTTACAATATCCTGTTATACATAGTAATTATTTTTTAAATATATGTTATTTTTTTATTTTTTATATAATTTATTGATTTTTTTTTTTTTTTTTTTTTTTTTTACAGAGAGGAAGAGAGAGGGATAGAGAGTTAGAAACATCGATGAGAGAGAACCATTGATCAGCTGCCTCTTGCACACCCCCTACTGGGGATGTGCCAACAACCAAGGTACATGTCCTTGACCGGAATCGAACCTGGGAGCTTTCAGTCTGCAGGCTGACACTCTATCCATTGAGCCAAGCCAGTTTCAGCTATACATAATTATTAATAACGAACTACAACGTTTGCTAATGACAGATGACTATAATCATGTTGAATTAATTTCCCTTACGTGCCTTATGCACAGGCACACCATTTCTCCCCACTAATACTGATAGTGAATATTTTAGCAGCCGATTGCCACATCACTAGTCTTGGACTGACTTGTTTGGTGTGCACAACAGGAAATATTTTTAGTACATAGAACAAGAAAAATAAGTTTATTTGCATTACGCTTATTAATTTGTGCAGTTATTCAGTGTCTGGTATGTTAATGTTCAAGAAAAATAGTAATTTTTATTAAAATGTTCTGTTATTTTATGTTAATGATTACTCATTTATTTCAGCCCTTTTATTCACCATGACTCTATTGAAATAAACCTATATTTCTATGAAAATTGAAGCTTTTGTCTTTCTGTGGCCCACATAAAGTTAAGCCTTGGTGATTTGGCCCATGTTAGCCTTTGAGTTTGACATGCTTGATGTAGTTGCAGACCTCTAACCAATTCTTGTTATCAATGTAACTCATGTACTTTTGTATGTTTCCTAGTTGTTCTGTGTGTTTAATGATATATTTGGGGGGAAATCATAAACTATGCCACACTGCCATATTCCTAGAACACCTTAAAGAACAGATGATAGTTTTTTATAACCTTCATTAATAAAAAATGCCTAGAAAATACTGTGAGGGCACAAAATCAGCAATGAGTTAAGCGCTGATAAATTTCTCCCAAAAGTCAATCTCTATAGCTAATTCCACCATGACAATATATATTCTCCTTTTGGGATAAGTGGCATGGGAAGTATTACACAGTGGCCTAATTTCCACTGGTACATTATAAATTCAAACCATTTGATCTATAGATTTGTTGCTAATTAAATGAAGAATAAAGTAACCCCCTATTTAAAAGAACCTACTAATAAATAAATAAATAAATAAATAAATAAATAAATAAATAAACAAACAAACCTACTATATGTACCTAAAGCAAAGCATGAGATACAGTATTTGGAAAAGATGAATTATTGTTTATTACAATGAATTCTTTGTGGCTTCCAATTTCAAAAACTAAAAATATGTTAAAAAAAAAAAAAAAGTCTGGGATACTACTACCAAAATATTAACAGATATTTTCCACCAGAAAATAGAATTACTGATAATTTATTTTCCTTTTGTTTGTCTCTATGTTATAAATTTTAAAAATGAAAAATTAATTTTTTTTGCAAAAGTGTTAAAACAACTTACGCTAGAACCATGCTGTAATCTGAGTGGTTAAACATATATCCTCCAATAATCCACATTATATTTCCATTGACCACAGCTTTGTGAGAGGCTCTGGGGAGCCTTGGGTTAGAATATTCCTCTTGAGTCCAAAATGACTGGTTAGCTGGTACAGGTATTGAACATCCAGGACCTAATAAAACATAATAAATAAGCTTCACAAAATGCAGTTTTAGAATTACTGCATTTCAAGTTTTAATCTATTAAATGTAACAAATATCTAAACAATACTCAGTCTTGCCCTTTAGTGTCTAGATATCAGACAAATCACTTTAATTTGTGCTTTTCATTTACTCAAAGCTAAACATAAACAGTAATCTCTCATAAAATTCAAAATCACATACTTTTTAATGATGACCTGACCAGATACAGGTTAGGATTTTTTAGAAATAAAATACTGGCTTAAACAGCCCTCAGAGGAAAGAGGACAAAGGGATTATTAATGCAAACGAAAAAAACAAACAAACAAAAAACCACACACACACACCAAAAAAACTTTAGGGCTAGAATGTAAAGACTAGTCCCAGGAAAAATAGTACAAACTTCTCATTTCCTGGAAAATAAAGAAGCTCCATTCAAGGAAGATTTGGCTTCTGCTGCACCATTTGCACAGTGATAGGTACTCAAATACTTTAGTTATTTACCTCCTTGATTTCAGCCAAATTGAATAAAGCATTTATAAAAGCACATTTTCTTTCACAATAAAAGTGGTCTGACAAAGGGATAAATGTATAAAGAAAATCACTAAATCAGTATCAGCTATTATCATCCATCCTTAAAGATTTTGCTCAAGCTTTTTAAATAATTTTTATCTACAGATAAACCCATTAGCTGACTACTTTAGAATTTTACTATATATTGAAAGTTTCTAAGGAGACATCATTATTGTCCCATCTCCCAGCTTGGTTATCTGCTATTCTTCTTATGGCTGAGCCCAAGTTCTCCAACTTTCATGTATGAATTGCAAAGAATGTCAAACCCCTCCCCAATTCTAAAGAGACTACAACCACACATCTGTGAATTTCAAATATTTGTAAGAAGCTCAATAAAGAGATGTGAAAATATAAACACTACCTGATATTTGAATAAGAGAGAAGATATAGATATTAGGAATAAAGTCAATTACAAGTTATTAAACTAGAAATATACTTTAAGTTGGGAGAAAAGTGAAAAAAGCACCTACCCTGCCACTCTGAGAAGCAGAAACATCCTCTGACATCACTGGAATTGCAGATGCCTCGATGAGGAAAACCACAGTTATTTACACAGTGAGGAATGTCACATGCTTCACCTTTCCAGTTTTCAGAACATTCACACTGAGCAGTGTTGTTGCTGTTGTTGATCTTACATTCTCCTCGGCCTGAGCAATTATTTGGACACATGTCAAAACTATAAAAACAGTGAGAGAAAATTAAATCAAAACAAAGCAACACTTGTAATAATTTAGGTGAACTTTCTCCTACACAAGGTTTAAGAATGTCACTGTGTTTCCAGTTCATTCACAAGCACAGCTGCAGTACTCACCATTCAGCCCAAATAGGTTCACCCAACAAAGCATAGCTTGGGTAAGTAATGAAATCAAATTGACCTTGATGGATTCTCTTTAAGAGATAAGTGAAAGAACTTACAAAAAGAGAAGAAATTCTTGTAAAATGTTCAGGTTTAGCTTCTCAAGATGGAATGACTATCCTATTCTTGGTAGCTCACAAATGATGAGCATTACAAAAATTACCAAATGCATGTTGCAAGTTTGGAGAAGAAAAGGATAAGACAAACTGCCAACAATGCATCCTCATCCTCATGGTGTATTTATATACCCCAAGCCCATAGTCCGGTCAGTCAGTGTGGACATGCCCATAGGCCAGTCAGTGTGCACATGCCCATAGTCCGGTCAGTCAGTGTGCACATGCCCATAGGCCAGTCAGTGTGCACATGCCCATAGGCCGGTCAGTCAGTGTGCACATGCCCATAGGCCGGTCAGTCAATGTGCACATGCCCATAGGCCGGTCAGTCACTGTCCAAATGCCACTGATTTCCAGATGACATCCCAACTCGGACAGGAATTCTGAGTCCTAGATCCCAATATCAATGTCCTGTTTAGACATCTCATATGTACCCAACCAACTTATCAACATCTCCCCTCAACCCAGCCTTTATTCCTACCTGTGTCATTAAAAATCACCTTGCTAGTACTGTGTGTGATAATCCACCTAAGCTGCCAAGTCACACACCCTGGGCGCCTGAAAGACTGAATCACCACACTAATCAAGATAGAGAGCTTCAAATCAGCCTGAATGAATTCTAAGATCATGAGAAAATGGGCAGAAAAATAACCCAACATAAAGGTTACACATAGAGATCATTACCTATGCCAGGAGCTGGCAAACTTATTTTATAAAAGGCCAAATAGTATTTTAGGATTTGAGGGCCACAGAAGTTCTTTATCACAAGCCGCTAGCCTATTTAACTACTTATGAAAATAAACATTTCTTCTTTTTTTTTTCTTTTCAGTGTGAAGTGAAAGTGGGTTTATTAGTGAAGCACTGAGGCAGAGAATAGGTACTCCACAAAGAGAGCAGCCCCCCATAGTGAAATTTGCTTCCTTTACTGGGATTCATTTAATCGGGGAGCATTTCTTAAGAGGAAAAATAGAAAAGACAAAGCCTCTCTAGTCCTGGCCATGGTTGTTCCGTGGTTAGAGCACCGGACTACACACTGAAGGGTAATAGGTTTGATTCCTGGCCAAGGGTATGTACCTGGGTTGTGGATTCGCTCCCTGCCCCCCAGTTGGGAAATGAGCAGGAGGCAGCCAATCAATGTGTCTCAATTACACTGAAATTTTCTCTCTCTCCCACCACCCAACTTCCTCCTCTTCCACTCTCTCTGAAAAGCAATGGAAAAAATATCCTCAGGTGAGGATTAGCAACAATCAAAGTTAGCCTCTCTCCGTATCACAACAATTTCCAAAAGCTGCTTAAGTTTGTCTGTCTACATTTCCTAGTAACCTCAGCTAAGTTGTCATCAATGGTCCAACCACTGAATACATGAAAACTACTACTATTTGTTAAATCATACATAGCAAAAACCCTCTATGTTTTAATCCATTAGCAAGAAAATACCCCTCTCTTTCAGGAGAAGCTCAACAGCACAAAGATCTAGGTTGAAACTGTGGTTCAAGCACTTTAATAATGTATTGTTTCCCACTAGCTTCTTCAATTATAAAACAAGTAGAAAAACAGTGTCCGTATTTCACTGAGTTTTAAAAAAACTTTAAGTGAGAAAATACATTCAAACTGCTTATTGCAATGCCTGTCATACCATAAGCCCTCAATATATATTAGTCATTACTATTGTTAAAACAAAATATATAGTCTTTTGAATAAAACTGCAAATATTAGACTTAAATATCTTACTTGTAAGTGATATTAAATCCAGTCAAATTATAAGCAGCATCACTAAAAAAATGCAGCAGGGCATAACCTGATGTGGCAATAACCTCAGGGACAGTCTCGTTGCCGTCTCTTTCAGGAACAATCAGGCCACTGAAATGAAAACACATTTCTTATTAAGGGAAGCACAATCACAGACACATCACAAAGTGGCAAACACAAGTTTAGAGCTGAAATTCATCCTTATAATTTAAAAAACCACTTCCAGGAGGACGGGTAACTTTCTGCGATAAATGCATGGTACAACCCTTTTAGTTATGGTTTCTCTGGGGAATAGATATGAATCTTTTGCTAGATTCCCCTTTATTCTGGGTTATATTTCGGTTAAGATTTGAAATAAATGGCCCTATTCTTTTTTTAATAAACATTTTTATAATGCTTCTTTGAAAAACTGAATAAATCTCTAATAATCACTGAAGGTAACAAAGTTCATGAGTTGATGAATGTCAAATACTAGCAAAAGGCATGGAAAGTAAAAATATAAGTAATAAGCTTGATAAACAAACACATAATCCCAAATACATCCTATATTTTCTTTGTCTAATTAATACCAGATTACATTTTATAGTCTATTTTACCAGTAATATACCATAAGCATTTCCCATATTACTAAAAGTTCCTTCAGAACTTTTGGTATCTCACTCCAGCACACAAAAATATTCATTGGGTGCCTGGAGAGGGAAAGAATTATGTCAAAGTTCTAAATGATGACTTTAAGGCTCCTGACCCATAATACCAACTTGTTTTCCAGAAGATACGTGTCGAACTGAAGTCCCATCAGTAAAGACTGTAAGAATCAATCCCACGTCAGCCCACCAAGTAAAATTAGCTTTGCTATTTTAGCTTTGCTAATAAGTAAAAAGTGATTTTTTAAATTTTGATTCTGAGTTTTTTTTACACTCCCAATGTTAGCCATTTTTCCTATGTTTACCTGCCTATTGCATATCTTCATATGCTCAATATCTTCAATTATTGAGGCACTGTCTCTACTACCAATACCACTATCTCATTCTTTAAAAGCCTAAATCCTTACCAGGTCCTATGCAATATGTTCCACACACATCACCACCCAACGAACAAAAATCTCAACCATTATTCTCTTCCCTTCATTCACTTGACCCTAGCCACACTGGCCTCTTTGCTTCATAATTTGCAATACACACAGAGAAAACACCATACAACACCTTCATCTTAGGTTTTAAAAACTGAAGACTACAGAACAGAATTCAGATGAAAAGTCCACACTTCTGAATCCTGGGTGGTTTTTTTCTTTATTAGCTGAACTATCTGCTGCCAGGCTCTCTCCACTCCAGGCCCCCAGCACATTACCACTGGATTGATTCCTCTATCCAAGTCCTCCTGACCAACAGCATTTCTCAGCTCCCCATCTGGTGTCAGGGTTTCCAAATTGTTCTGTTTATCAGTGGTTTAGAGGTTTTGTGTTTCAGATAAATTTCAATTTCAAACCTGTATTTTCTCATTATAATTTTAGAAAATTTATATTCCAATACTATGCCATAGGTTAAATTTTAATACAATCAATGGATTAATCTATACTATAAGTTAACCAACTTTTTTTTTTTTTTTATAGAAACCTAAAAGTTCTCCTGTTTTCTGTACATATACTTTGGCTTCTCTCAAAAGTCATCAATTAGAACAATTAAAGCCTTTACTTATTTATATATTGCTGTTGATTCACAAGTCTGCTCATCAAATACCCAATCCAGGTGAAGCACAGCATTGATTATGCATACCTGCTTGGCTGATGTTCCCACAAAGCTAACGGCAAGCTGATTACAAGTGCCCAGCACATTAGAAAACTCCATATATTTGGATTAATGAACTCAGTATGAAGTAAACCCCCAAAAAGTACTATCATGATAGCATCATACTATAGACAGTTTTTGCGCTTGTGTTAAAATTTGTGATGCCTCTTGCTATAATGCAAGAAATGCTTCAAATTCTGGCATAAAGATATACATGCTCAACACTTAGCAAATGACATTTTGATGCTTAGCATGGCCTATCCATCCTGATCTTTAGCTTCGAAAGTGAATCTTAGAAACTGGTTCTTAGTTCAGAGATGTGTTAGAGAGATTCCTAAGCCAAAGGGAGGGGAGAAATACAAGAGCACATTAGTCCCTGGTTTCCTGGGTCCTTTGGAGACTCTTGTACTGTTTACTCTGTTACCTCACCCACATGAGACTAGTCCCATGTGAGGAATACAAAAAATATTTGTTGAATTGATTTCTATTTAGTCAAGGATATAAAATACTTATAGCGGGTAGGAAGAAACCAGAAAGTGAATTGTAGATTAAAAAACTGACAAATATGACTCCCTAAGGAGATATGTGTTTCAGAAATATATCTATAATAATAAAAGGGTAATATGCTAATTAGACTGGATGTCCTTCTGGATGAAGCTGGTGGCCTGAGGGAAGCCGGGTTCCCAGGTGTCCGCTGGCAGCCAGAGCGAAGCCCAGGTCTCGGGGTGCCAGAGGAAAGCCAGTGCTGGCAGCCAGGAGAAGGAAGGCCTATTCAGCACAAATTTTGTGCATTGGGTCTCTAGTTATTTTATAAACCTTCTATCAAGTTAAAGGAAGAAAAATAGGATGGTTTTGAATTTCTATATGGTCAAAAAGATAACACAGCCAGTTATTGTTAATAAAAAGTAAAATGCCCAAAACAATTCAGAACATGCCATATGTTGGGTGTGAAGCTATTTTAACAATATGGAATACAATTATTGAAAAAGTATTATAATACATTAATGGTATATTCCTCATTCTCCTCAGATAACTACTGTTCATTTTCTGTGTATTCTTCCATAAAGTTTCCCTCACCCATAAGTACACACACACACACACACACACGCGCGCGCGCGCACACACACACACACACACACACACACACACACCTATATTTGAATTTAGCAAATACCTCCTGAAGGCCTATCTAATGAGGGATACAGAAAGGATTAAAATTAATGTGATACCTGATTTAATTTTTTACAGAAATATTATCATTCAACACATTACTCACAAAACATTTTTAAAATATAAACTTCACCACTACCAGGAGAAGTGGATGAACAATACTACCACCATGACTGTACAGAGCAGGAAATTAAAAAGAGAAGTCAAGTACTCTGCCCAAAGACTTACCTAGTAGTTACAAGAAACCAAGTCAGGCCTCTAGAAATAGTGTGTTAAAGTATAATAAAGATGAGTCCAGTAAGAATGCAATCTAGGACATATGCTTGAATTCAGAAATCATATGATTAACAACTAATATGAGTGAACTTACCTAAAGGCAGCAATTAGTGGTGCATAAATTGAGTCCCCATCATAAACATATAAATGGTCCCAACTACACTCTGTAGCAAAATGATTGAAACGGAGTCTCATTATTCTATTTGGCCTGGAAAAAATAATAATAATAATTTATAATAATCAACACTATCAAACATTTGAAAAATATATATCTAGATTTTTCATTTATAGAGAGGAGAAATTAATATTATACTAAGGAGTATTTCATTATTTGTCAAAGATTTACTTAGTATTTACTATATGTAAGTTAAGAGACCACTAACCATGCACTGATAAAATACACATGGTCTGTGCCTCTTTGGGCCTTATAGCCTACACAGTAGCCATTCATTAACAGCCTCTGAAACAACCCATTAGCCCTTCCAGTTCTGCACTTCCTTCTTCAACCGAAGATTCCACATTACATCATTTCATAATCACACCTGCCAATTCTCTAAACTCACCTGCCCCTCTGACTTTTCATGGAACTACTTGGCAAAAGTTGTGGTCTAGAGGAAAACAGTTGCCTGCTTTGACTTAGATTGAACCCAAACAAAATTAATCCGTGCCAAAGAAAGTCACATCACCGAGTAGGCTGGCTCCAGTATTGGTCATTGCTCACCAACTTCAAATGGTACTTCAATTCTGCCAGCAGTCCTATTACTAACTCTCTCTCTCTCCTTCTCCGCAACTGCTATTCTCAATTACTATTTCAAGCCATTCAGTCTCACCCACGTATCTGCTTATGTTCAGCACCAAGACAAAAATCCTTCAAATTCCCATTTTTCAAAACAGATACACCTACCTACTTCTCTTTCCATTTCTCAAATATTTAGCATCTCCCTTATCTGAAATGCATCCACATTTAAATCTCCTTCAGTATCACATATTTTACAAAACAACAAAACATAAAAAGCTTCAAATCCCAGCTCTTCTAGCTATTACCCCACCCATCCCTTTCTCCTCAATAGAGTAAAACTCTACAGGAGACTTTTTTCCCTTTATTTCCTCATATCCCACTTACCCCTTCACTCTCTAACCTGGCTTCAGCTCAAACAGCTCTTGGTATTAGCAGCACCATCTAGTTCCTGCAGGTGCCTAATTATATGTCTCCAGTCTAGACTTTCCTCTAGCTCACACTTATCTATATAACTAACATCTCTAACAACTAAGTAAATACATAAATTAACTCAGACGGTGATGAGTACTGTGAAGAAATTAAAGGAATTATGTTATGGTAGTACAACAGGTGTTGGGGAAATACCCCAAAAAACTTTGAAGGAGATTAGAACAACAAGAGATAAGCCGTATGACAAGCTTAGAAACAAATGTTTCAGGCAGAGGATACAGCACGGTCTTAAAAGACTCAGGAAGAAATAAGTTGATGTAAAAACAATATGAAGAAAATCAGCATATCTGAAACAGCAAATCGAGGGAACCTCATAAGAAGTAAGAGGTAGTAAGCAAGAGGCAAAAGCAAAAATCAAAAGGCCAATTTCAAGGCTAATACAGGGACCAAGGAAATTGAGGATGGTAGTTTTTATAATACAATAATTTCAGAGATTGATATGAAAAGGAGAATGTGGTGGATTTGGGAGATAGTCTAGAAGGAAAATGAACAGAAATTACTGATAGGCTGAATATGGGAATAAGAGGAAGGAGAAATTATTTTTTGCTTAGGCTGAGTAGAAACAACCACTGAGATCCCATGCTGAGCAATAAATGGTGGAGAAGAACACCAGATGGGAGTGGACTGACAGAAAGGACAAGGGCAGACCACAAAGCACAAGTTCTCAAAGTGTGGTCCACAGAACACCATAGAGGGGCCCTGAGACCCAAGAGGTCAAGACTATGTACATAATAATTAATACTAAGCTATCATGTACCTTATCATCATGTTGGCATTTACTAATGGTACAAGAGCAAATAGTGGGTAAAACTGCTGACACCTTGGAACCTAGCATTTGTGATATATTTCATCACCACTCCCTCACATAAAGAAAAGAAAAAATGACAGCTTCGTTTAAGCATAGCTTTATTACATGGTAAAAACTATTAATTTTATTAATGGTGCACATTCTTTTTAATATTATGCATGACAAGGTGGGAAGTATGCATAAAGCATTTCTGCTACCTAACAAGTAGAATGCTTTCAAGGAAACTCACTTTTGAAATTGTTTGAGTTGTGAGCTGAACCTAATTGCCTTTCTTTTAGAATACCATTTACCATTTTTACTTGAAAGAACAAACTGTGGTTTTTCAGACTTGGATATATGGCGGATATTTTCTTGAAAATGAACAAAGTAAAGCTGTCAATTCAAAGAAAACAACTGGCAGTATTTGGTGCCAAAGATAAAATACAAGCTTTCAAGCAATAATTAGAGCTTTGAAAGATTTATATCTGCCACCTAGACACAACCTCCCAATATTTAAAATGTTCTGATGAGATTGAGAGTGATATAACTAATGTGATTTTTTAATTGATTTGAGAGAGAGAGAGAGAGAGAGAGAGAGAGAGAGAGAGAGAGAGAGAGAGAAAGAGAGAGAAACACCGATTTTTATTGTTCTACCCATTTATGTGTTCACTGGTTGATTCTTTTATGTGCCCTAACCAGGAATCTAATTTGCAATCTTGAGTATCAGAACAATGCTCTAACCACCTGACAACCTGGCCATAGCCCAATGTGATTTTTAAAAAATATCATACAATGAAATATATCAACATTTGGGATATCTGCATAATTCAGTGAGCCAATATTTTCCAAATGACCACATATCATGTTATAAAACCATGCACAGGTTAAAGATGCATTCAACGTACAAGAAAACTAATTACTTTTAATTTAACAAATTCCTGAAGTTCATTTACATTGTTTCATATTCCACATGGCAATTTACTTTTAAGAAACTACCACTTGTCAAAGACTACCATCCACAATTCTTTAAAAGCACTAAAAAACCTCCTTCCCTTTTCCCACTTCATTTCCCACTAATTTTCTTCACATACTTCACCACCGTAACACTGAAACAAAGTGAATGCAGGCCCGGCTAGGCATGACTCAGTGGATGAGCATCTACCTAAAAACCAGGAGGTCATGGTTCGATTCCTGGTCAGTGCATATGCCCAGGGTTCAGACTATCCCGAGCAGGGGACATGCAGGAAGCAGCAAGTCAATGATATTCTCATTCATATTCTTTCTCTCTCTCTCTCTTTTTCTCTCTCTCTCTCTCTCCATTGATGTTTCTATCTCTCCATCACCCTTCCTCTCTAAAATCAATAAAAATGTATTTTTTTAAAGTGAATGCAGAAAAAATGATAATCAAGCTGTCATCTATTAACCCAGAGAAAAGATTTACAAAAATGTAAAGCAATGCCATTCTTTTATTAATTTTTTAAATACAGGGCTGCTTTTTTCATAAAAATATGTCTTTTGTGCTAACGCAGAGTGGGTTTATTAGTTATTTTTAAACTGAATTAAATAGTATTTCTTAGTTTTAATTTTTAATATGGTAAAAACAGATATAACCCACAAAAACAAAGGTTATTTAGAATTCTATAAATTTAAGAGTGTAATGAGGTCATGAAACAAAAAAGTTTGAGAAACACTGCTTTAAAGGTTTGCTAAACTAAAGGGGAAAAAAAAAGGTAACAAGCTGGAGAGACACAGGAGTGAAGAGAAGAAGTTATTTGGACCAAACAGTTATTCTAACTTTCGTCTCTACAATAAAAATAGAGAAAAATGATACAATATTATGATTTTCTACTACTTTAAGCACATCACTAAAAATACTCCCATTTTTTAAACTAGTTCAACTGAAAATATACAAAATTCTGGATCAGTCTCCCTTACTTTTTTAGATATCTACTATTTTAGATATCCCTCACTTTATTTACAATTCCTCTACAGCATTAAATGTACAATTCCTCTACATCATTAAATCAACACAAAAAGTTTTAAGTAAAAATAAAATAAAATTTACTTATAAAATAAGAAGTTATTGAATAAAAGTATTTTAAGTACTTTATACTACAGTTTCTTAATTTTACTTGTAGGAAAAGTAATGTCACACTGAGCTCTATTCTAAAAAAATTAAATCAATTAGTCATTATTACTTACTGTCCTTCAATGAGCCATGTGCACTTCGTTTTATATTTATAATTTCCAGGTCCATCTGTTACAAACCCAGAAGATCCAGTTAATCTGTAATTTAAAGAAAAAAACTTAAGTCCATCAAGATTTTATATATTAATAATATATTTTTAAATTGTCAATACAATCCAAATTAAGCAAAGTTAGATGCATACTATATAACAAGAAGAAAATAACTGCATAGTTATATTCAGGTTACACAAATATAGATAAAATATACACACTTAAGAAGATACAAATATTCTAAAATCAACACAAATTAACAAAAAACATATCTAAATCTTTCCAGATAAGATGGGGAAAATCATACATTATATCATAAAAATGGCCACAAAAACTTATTTATAAATATGAGTTGGTTTTTTAAAAAATAAGATCACACAGCCCTGGCTGGTATGCTCAATGGTTAGAGTGTTGGCCAGTGCACAAAGGTTCTATTCCTAACTCTGGCAGAGGTACGTGAGGGAGGCAACCAAAGTATCTCTCTCAAATCAGTACTCCTCTCTGTTTCTCTCACTCCTTCCTCTACTTTTTCTGGGAGGGAAAAAAAAATCAATGGAAAAAATATCCTCAGATGAGGATTGACCAAAAAAAATTTCACAGTAACAATTATACGCATTTAATATGATAACACTATAGACAGCATCACTGTGATGGGCAAACACATCAAGCCACAACTTACAACAGATCCACCATATCCATTTAAGTTGCTGCTTCTGAAGTGGCAATCTATAGCCAGCCCTCTTTGAACAGTGTATATCAGCATCTGTCTTCCCACACTCGTGCCAAGCTGGAAGTGTGGCAATATCTTGAGATCTTGCCAATATGATAGGCATATCCTACTATTTAATTAATGTTTTGACTGGTACTAGCCCTAATGTTTGAATCTTCCCATCGCTTGTTCATTTGCATCACTCCCTTTTGAATATGGATTCCATACTCTTTGCCTACTTTGTGACCAAGTGGTCTTTTCAAATTAATATTTAGGAGCTCTTTTTATATTAAGGAGCTCCCATTTGTATGTTATATATACTATAAATATGTTTTCTTTATACTTTTTTCTTTATACTTTGTTACTAGTATATTATGTTACATAGAAATTTTTATTATTTAAGAAGGATGCTATTTCTTTTCTCACTGCTGTTTCCAGGTAATTTTTCCTCCAACTTCCACCAACAATGTCAGTCTCTCTGAAACAAGCACTCTTTTGGATCAGTTCCCTAATTTTTTTTATATCTATTGAAATCCCAATTACATCTCTCCAACTGAAGACATTAGTATCTAGTTCACTGCCTTTCACTCAATTACTTCAACATCCGAGATGTTCCATCCAAAACCCAGACTTTCCATTTCATAATTTCAACATTAAAATCTTTCTCCATCCCACTTTACTCTTATCATTACCAGTAACAGCACAACCACCAAAATGTTCATTTTAGGTGTCCTGTACTCCTATACTGTTACCATATGTTCTCTCTCCAGTTCATTTAGCTTTTCTCCCTTCCCAGTGAGTCATCAACCCCATTGGGACCTCCAATCCACTAAGCCAACTCTCCTCCATGTTCATCCCCATTACCCACACATTTCACTTTCCCACTTCCCTAATTAAGATCCCATAATTTATCACAATTATAAAGTCCTGAAAATCTCTTGACTTCTTTGCCCTTCTCTCGTTTTGCTATAAACTGACACAAATGTTTCCATGTTTTACTCCCCAATGTCTATTCACCCCCAAAATGTTAGTCTGAGCCAATCATGGTTTCCTGTGCCCTCTGCCAATAATTGGTTGCCAAAGGGAAGCAATCCAGAGCATATAAGGCATTTCCATGATCATCAAGAACCTAATATTCTTCTATCTTTTTTTGTCACCTTCAATATATGGCTTCCACCTCATAATCCAAGATGCTGCTCAAACTCCAGCTATTCCCACAGTCTACCCAGCAAGAAGGAGGAAAAGAAAATAAGGCACATATTGCCTCCAAGTCAAACATGACAATGCAACTTAACCATCAGCCAAAAGTTAGACAAATCTAAATGTAGAGGCTGAGATATATAGCCATGACCCCAGATTACCATGCATCCAATGAAAATCAAGGCTTTCTTTATCACAGAAATTAATTATTGCACAAACTTTTGTGCATCTTCGTTCTCTCACTCAATAAAACTTTGTGGAACTCTCTCCAACTATTAGGTCTAATTCATTCTTTTTCATGTAGCAAAATATTCCAACCTATAGAGATATCATTTTTTCCTGCCCTTCTCCTACTAACATTCATTCTGTTTTCAATTGCTTGGCATTATATACATTGCTGCAATAACTATCCCTATAAATATGGCCTTACTTGTGCTTTTATTTCTAAGAATAGAATCTTAGGAGGTATACTGGGCAAAAGGAATATGAATGTTAATTGTTAACCAGGGTGCCAAATTATTTTCCCAAAGACTGCAACAATTCATATTTTCCACTTGCAATATATGAAAATATTCTATTATCCACATTTTCTCTGTATTAGGTATTGCTTTTTAAAAAAATTTTACCAGTTTTTATTTTGAAATTCCTGTGTTCTAGTTAGTGACCAACAAGTGGTTATTAAAAATTTAGAAAGAGTTGAAAGGGAAAGACCAGAAATAGCAACCTAAAATTTCAGGTCAAGTTCTATAGTAAAATTAGAGTACCAGGACACTGGTACTACCTGTACCCACTTCAGCAGTAGTCACACAAAGGAATCAAATTGAAACATAAAGACATTTTGACAATATAAAAACAGAAATAGAAGGAATTAATGCCTTGCTACCACCAATTTCCCAATTTGATATATCCTAAGGGTAATTGTACAGTGAAAATGAATACAGAGAAAATAGGGAAATTCTCCAAAGGAGGCAGATTTCAAAGGAGTCATCTTATTAACTATTTCTTTCTAATTTATTTGTATTATTTCCAGACAATATGGTCTGTAAAATCTCAACTTTTCTCATCTATTCAGACTTTCTATATGACCTTGGACATTGATAAACTTTGACCAAAGTTCCTTGGATATTTAAAAAACAAACAAACAAACCAAAAAAAAAAACAGCCCGAACCGGTTTGGTTCAGTGCATAGAACATTGGCCAACCAACTGAAGGGTCCCAGATTCGATTCCAGTCAAGGGTATGTACTTTGGCTGCGGGCACATCCCCAGTAGGGGGTGTGCAGGAGGCAGCAGATGGATGTTTCTCTCTCATGGATGTTTCTTTTTTTTTTTTTTAATATTTATTTATGTATTTATTATATTTCATTGATTTTTTTACAGAGAGGAAGGGAGAGGGATAGAGAGTTAAAAACATCAATGAGAAACATTGATCAGCTGCCTCCTGCACACCCCCTACTGGGGATGTGCCCGCAACCAAGGTACATGCCCTTGACGGACTCGAACCTGGGACCCTTCAGTCCACAGGCCAACACTCTATCCACTGAGCCAAACCGGTTTCAGCTCTCATGGATGTTTCTAACTCTCTATCCTTTTCCCTTCCTCTTTGTAAAAAATCAATAAAATAAATTTTTTTTAAATAGCCTATTGTAGGAATGTGAAATACTATTTATATATGCACATATAATTAAGATTATTGAATGCACTATTCAATTTCTTTATATTCTTAATTTTATCTACATTTAAATCTAACTCTGAGACATGTATGTTGAAATCCCATACCTCAACTGCTTGACTGATGACATTTCTCAGATTAATTATGCTTTATATATTTAGCTATTAAGTCAAACCAGCTTATGACAGTAAGATCTTCATAAATTATGCCTTTTAAAAAATGCTTTTATTTATTTCAGAGAGAGGAAGGGAGAGGGAGAAGGGGAGGAAGATAGAAACATCAATGAGGACAGAGAATCATTAATTGACACCTACCCCATCCCCCACTGGGGATCCAGCCAACAACTCAGACATGTGCCCTGACCGGGAATTGAACTGTGACCTCCTGGTTAATGGATCAACGCTCGACTGAGCCACACCAGCTGGGCAAATCATGCCTTTTATGATAACAATCCATTAACCTAGCTTGATGCTCAAATTCCACCTTGTTTATTATTATAATTATTAGAATAAACATATCTTCTTGTGATTTTTTCCCTTTGTCTGCAGGATCTATCATGACCCTTGACCCCCTTTGTCATTGATATTGGTAATTTTTTCTCTTTATCAATCTCTCCATTAGTTTATCAATATTAATCTTTTTCAAACTATTATCTTTCTCAATCCTCTATAATAGCTCACTGCTAAACAAATGCTAAACACTGTTTTCACTTTTCACCTTTTTTCATAAAAGCAAAAATCCTCTTTGGATTTCTTTTGGTTGGCAAAAAATAGGCACAAGCCGAAACCGGTTTGGCTCAGTGGATGGAGTGTCGGCCTGCGGACTGAAAGGTCCCAGGTTCAATTCCGGTCAGGGGCATGTACCTTGGTTGCATATCCCCAGTGGGTGGTGTGCAGGAGGCAGCTGATTAATGATTCTCTCTCATCAATGTTTCTGACTCTCTATCCGTCTCTCTTCCTCTTGTAAAAAATCAATAAAAATATATATTTTTTAAAAATAGGCACAAATGTAAGTATTTTGTAAAATGAAATTTTGAAAAGTGTTAAATTTACTGGAGAAAATTGTCCCTAAGATTTAAGTCTCTTAAAATGATCACTATTCTTAGAAAACACATGCTAAAGTATTTTAAAGGGTCAAGGGTCATGATATACTGTATATATAGCTTACTTTCAAATGGATCAAGTAAAAAAAAAACTATAGGGGAAGAGGCAAGAAGAGCATCCAAATGGCATTTTCATCTCTTCCTCTCTGTGCTCTGTCCAACATATCTTACAATTCACTGATTTTTCTCTTCATCTGTGTCTAAAGTTCTCAAAATCAGTTGTTTTTTCAATTTCCATTAATTCTTTTTAAAATTTTCTAATTCTCTGCTGAAACTGATCTTGTCATTTGAATTCTTAAAGATATTTATTACTCATTTATTTCAGTCTGTTTCTAATGTTTTCTTTTTTTTAATATTTTTCTTTTT